GAGGGAAAAAATTATTCCGCATTAATAGGTTTCTTCCCAACAATAACAACTGAGCGCAGGACAGAGAGAACACATGAAACACACACTAAGCAATATTGAGGAAGTAAAATTGAAAATTCATTTTTCAATTGAGAATAAAAATTCAAACAATTATTTGTTAAAAGGAAACAGAAAATTAATATGAAGAAATTGTTGGTCCAAATCAATCATTAAGAAAGAAAGGACAAAAGGTGAGCGCAGAAAATTAGAGAGAGTGCAACGTCCAGTGAACGGTGGCAGCACACGACGAAAGAGAAAGGAGAGAGAAAGATTAGATTTCTGAGTTTTCTACTTAACGATCGGTGGTGAAACGTTGTCAGTTTTGACTTAAAATTTATGTATAGAATCCTTATAGTAAACTCTACAATCCTAACGGTGTTAATCTATAGTTTATCCTCTTTGAGGTATTTTCCTGTTATATCTACTTTACGAGACTTAGAATTTTCTTTTGAGGAGATCCATTCTATATGATGATATGATGATATGCTAGAGCTAAAAAATATGTTCTTGATGTTATTATGATCGTCTGGTTATTCTAGAGAAGATTTACTGTAAACCTGTTATCATTATTATTGATAATGAAAATTTGAGGTGGACTACGGTCTCGTGATTTTTCTCACATTAGGGTTTTCACGTTAAAAGATTTAGTCTCATTGATTAATTATTCTATTATTTATACTGTGCTGGTTGATATTTACATTTTGATATCAAGTTGGTATTTCGATAATGAACCCATTTTGATACAGAAAAAGAATTATTCCACGATTTTTCCTAACAGAAATAATTTTCATAGAACTAAGTTACCATCATCTTAGTATTTTGATTAATTATTCTATTATTTATGCTGTGCTGGTTGATATTTATATTTTGATATCAAGTTGGTATTTTGATACACAGAGAAAAAGAATTATTCCGTGATTTTTCATAACAGAAATAATTTACATAGAACTAAGTTACAATCATCATTGTGAATCATCAAACACCATCGGATGTATATCTGTGCTGCACTTTTATATTCTCCACAAACATAAACCATATTACTCTTTGTAAGTCATCAAATAACTCCACCTGTGAGAGTAAATGTGAAGCTTCCTTCTCCACCCGTCCTCAGTTGACACGATAATAAGGATGTGAGCCCATTTCTACGACTACGTACAACAGAAATGGGCTCACATGCTTATTATCTTGTCAGCTGAAGACGGGTGGAGAAGGAAGCTTCACATTTACTCTCACAGGTGGAGTTATATTACCTTCTCTTCGCTCAGGTGGAGTTCTTTGTCTCCAAAAATTAACCCTAGGTAAGTGTTATATTTCTCAAATCTTATTTTGTTCATAAGCATGTAGATTCTACGATTCATTTCATCTCGTTGATTTTTGTATTCTATAATATATTGGTATTCAAAGGATCGCATGGGTTGACTGATTTCTCAATATGATTTATGATTTTTTTTTCTGTCATTGATTTAAACAAACTTTAGAATATTTAAGTTACAAGTTGGATCGAATTTAGGATGTATTAATAAGATTGCAAGCTTATGATTTCCATTAATGAACTTTTTATGAATATGTTACATTTCTCAATATATTGTCATAAAAATTTGGTTTGCTGTTGTGGTTTGCATGCCGCAATAATATGTTGAAAGAGGATGGAAGTAAGTAGTCAAAGAAAAGGAAATAACGAAATAGGAACTCTGCGCCGCAATATATATATATATATATATATATATATATACGCACGTAGGAACGTGGTTTTGGGTCGGGACAAACCGTAGGGTCCACGTAGGAAAAAGGAATAGGTTTCGTGGAGATGTTTGCCATGTGACACGTCAGTCTGGTAGTTAGACTAAAATAGCACGTAGTAGTACTGTTGGAATTCGTATGTAACTTTGCTTTGTACAAAGAACGTGTGAATTGGCAAAGGATTATTGGGACCCACGCGATGATGTTACGGTGGACGGTGGTGCGACGACTACAAGTTTAGTCCACTTGTAGTGCTGGCCACTGAGTTCGATGTCACGCCACCGAGCCGCGCGCTTGCGTGTCTTCCCTTCCTTCCCGTTCGGAAATGCACGAGACCTAATCCTCGACGCAGCTCTCGTCAGTCATGTCATCCATCGCCCGCACGTCCGCCGCGCGCCTCCTCTTGAATGATTTCCGTCACACTCTGCACGCATCGCTCCCGTCCGAAACCGACTAAGAATGAAGACCCCATGGCCTCTTCCCTTTTGGTGGCCACATACTAGTCCAGGTCGCTAAAACCGCATTCCGAGTCCGCGCGAGTCTCCCATGTGTCGTCCATCTTATAACCTCCTGGATCCTCTTACAGCCATGGCAAACCCAATCAACCGGCACCGATGTCGCCGAAGAAGAAGGAGGCCGCCTTCCTTCTCTCCGCCGTCAAACCGCCCCAAACCAGAAACGAGCAGCAGCAAAGAGGCATGTCGAGCTCCTACGATTGGCAGCCGTCCTTCCCGTCCTCCTCCCGCTTGTCGCGAGAGCAGGAGACGTCCGTCATCGTCTCCGCGCTCGCTCACGTCGTCTCCGGCTACGCCACCGCTCCCGCCCAGCTCCCTGTTGCCGAAACCTGCCGCATGTGCGGCATCGACGGGTGCCTGGGCTGCGAGTTCTTCTCCTTCGACGAGGACGAGGTAGCCGTCGCGGCGTCGGAGAGCAGAGGATCCGGCGGGGCGAGGAAGAGGAGGAAGAAGAAGAAGAGTAAGTACCGCGGCGTGCGGCAGCGGCCGTGGGGGAAGTGGGCGGCGGAGATACGCGACCCGAGGCGGGCGGTGCGCAAGTGGCTGGGCACGTTCGTCACCGCGGAGGAGGCCGCGCGGGCGTACGACCGCGCCGCGCTAGAATTCCGCGGCCCCCGCGCCAAGCTCAACTTCCCCTTCACGGATCCGCAGCCGGCGGCGGCTGCCCAAGCAAGTCATCGCGCGGGGCGACTCAACGCGTCCTCCACGGCCGGCCACCCACGAGTCTCGCCACTGCAGCAAGAGAAGCCAACGGTGGCGGAGCGTGGAATGCAGGAAATGATGAAAGTGTGGGAGCTTATCGTATGATCTGGGACCAGGTGGCGCTGAAGGACGATGATGACGATAGATATCTGTGAATTCCAAACTACACTAGAAGATATATTCACCAAAATAAAAAAAAAAAGAAGACAAAATCTGCAAAACTATCTTTCAATCCAAAATTTAAGAGTCATCAATCGAGGATCATAAAGATTTTGTTGGACGTTTTAGTGGATTAGGCTGATGAGTCGGCGCCGCGTGGGTGCGTCCGAGCGTCGCATCGTGTTTGGTGTGCATGAGAATGATGTGGACACGCGGCTTTCGCTCAATCGGAAGCGGACCCCACATCGGCCAGTGACAAAGCATGCTTACTCGTCTCGCAGTGTTACAGAAACGGGTTATGTGGATCACGTGCGCCGGTGACCGTTGAACTGGTAAATATGAAGCATAATAAAATAATTGGGTGTGGGACCTCTGGCGATCTGATGGGAAAGAGACTCGTGAAAGAGACACGTGGGAGTGGAAGGCGAAAGTACAGTGAAGGTCCACCACGAAATCTTTCTCAGAATGATGTGGCACTCCCACTGGCCCACATCCATGAATCAAGAACACGTGATGATAGGCGAATCTCGTGCCGTAGGTGGGGGTGCGGCCATCAATTTTAATCGTCAATTTGATGGGATGAAAGTGATATGATATGATTAGTTTTTCGAGTATTTCAAAAAAAATAGAGGGTTAGCATAATTTTATTCGAAGGTTAATAATATAATATCTCGTTTTACTTTATTCTTATAAAAGATTATCTCGGAGATCCGTTGAACAAAACTTTAATCAAATTAGCATCTATTCGTTGAAGATAAAAAAAAACTCGTAAAAAAATTAAGTGAATAATATTAGTTTGAGAATCATATAGAGAGTACTTTATATATTGTTGGATAGTAACTATCATTATTTATAAATATTAAATGATTTAATGAGAATATTTTCTTTTGGATGGTAATCGTCTAAAAGAAAATATCTGATTGTATGAAACACGTTTGATGCCTTTTTGACTTGGATGGATATATCAGGTGGAAAGGATACTTTCACATGTTACATATGCTTTTTTGTCCTCAATTGATGTACATCAAATACTTAAACTTCATTTGTGGTTTAAGTATATCATACGCAAAAAGATGCTTCAGATATTTTTTAATCCAAAATGAATGCATTATGCGTAAGGAGATATTTTAATCATATCGGACATTTGTAATAAATATTTTAATCACAAGAAAGGCAGACTCTGTCATGTTCCTGTAGTCAGTTTTGATCAGAATCCTGATCCTGATCAGAGTTTTACACTTGGTTTTTAATTTAGGCTCTAAAATGCATTCATCTATTGCTGTAAATTTTCTTGTTCTCCATAACCTTTTTCGCACTTCGTCAGTCTCCTTATGTGCAGGATAATTTGATCATTCATCACAGTAAGCATCAGCTGCACCTTCTAATGTTTGATTGATGCTCCTCTTTCTCAAAGTTGACACATATACGCATGGAAGACAAATCACTTCCAACATCTTTTGGCAAGTCTCCAAGCCTGAGGCCTGATACAGCTAAATCTGTTCAGCAGTGAGAGATTTTGAGAGAGAGAGAGAGAAGAAAGTACTACAAAGCACCATAGTATATTAGATTCCAGGAATACATTTTCCCTTGAAGTTAAGAGTCTGTTAAGGGCAGTATAGCCTAATAGGGATAATCAAACAGTCAACATTGATATGGTTATGACATTGATAGAACTGATACTTACAAGATGCAACAGAATTAACATCATTCCTACTTCAGTGATAGTGGAAGTACCTCAAGAAACTCTCTACACTATGAGCATTTCATCTTGCCAAGGTCTTCTAAACCATGCAAGGATAGGTTATATTTGAAAAAGAAAAAACAGGAGTCACCAGTCACCATAGTGTGCCACTGCAAAGATGAATGTCTAATCCAAGTGTAAGGGCTACCGCTTAAGCCTGATTAACTAGCTTAAGGCCCCAACTCATGTCTTCACAGTGTCTCACATGTGGGACCAGGGCTCCTGTGTCAATACCTTTCTTGGCTTTGCAGTCATAGAAGGGAGGGGCATGAAAACAAGGTTCGATTGACATGGCTCGACGACAAGGAGGGTCTGGAGCTGTCTGGTTATCGGGCTTGTACAGAATCCATGGCTGTAAACCACCAAGACCTTGGGCAACATAACCAAATGTAGACCATGCACTTGTAACCAATACATCAGTGAAGCTCAAGAGGTACATCTCTGCCAATGCTTTCATGTTGTGCATTTGCTTCTCCGTCTTCTGGTATCCTTCATGGCTTGGTTGATGGACACTAATGATTTCACCGGTGGCTGTAGGTTGCTCCCAGTACATGTTCCTGATCTTCTCAAAGTACCCATTGTTCAAAGAAGTCAGAAGCACAGCTTTTGATTTGACATTTGGAGTCGAAACCACAGTTTCTTGACCACTGACATCAGGAAGAACCTTCTCCTTCTGAGAACATGCAAGAATTTGATCTAGCACATACTGAAAGGGACCAGTATCTGTTTCAAAGACTCTGATCTGTATGCCCACTCTTTCATCTGCCTTCGCAAGATAAGATTGGTAATATCTAGTAATCAAACCCCACACGGTATTGGTAGGATGGAAAAGATAGCGTCCCAAATGATGGAAGACAGTATCGGCCTCTGGGAAGAGCTGCCTTAGTTCTTGTTCATATGCTGGGATCAGAAAGAGAGACGGCACAAAGTAGTTGTTTGACCTCAACAACAACCAAGGAACATTTTGAAGGAACTTCTGATCATCTTCACAGAAGAAATTCTTATCACGGTCACCATAATCGTGGGATAGATGGAGATAAATGTAAGCAGGTAGAGACTGTGGTGAAGTACCATCAACACCGTAGCTAATAACCTTATTTTTTAACATGTTTCCATAACTCTCAGGTGTCTTAATGTCAAAGGTCCCAAACTTAGTGATGGGGAAATCCAGAGGTAGAAGCCATGAGCTTTCAGGAAATGGCTCACAAAAGAGGTCATCCATGTCAGAACCACGGTCGATCAACAAGACCTTGTTTGTTAGGAGAGCATATAGAAATGCTGAAGCAATTGATAACATCCTGTTCCCTAAGCCACTGTATGATACCCATACGACATAGTTGCACTCTGTTGATTGGGTGCCACGACCAGATTTCAACTGTTCTACAGATTTCTTGTACAATTCAGTGTTTGGACCACATTTCTTATGGAGAGCTTCATAATTTCTCAGTTTTTCCAACAAGTAAGGAGATGGTAAATGAGGTGATTCTTTCCAGTACAATGCAGAGTGGTACCTGCTTAGGCAGGATTGTTCATCAAACCCAGCAGCAAGCAAGCCATGAAGAAGCTTATCCTTTGGACCACGAGAGGATGGAAATGACTCATTCTCTAAACCTAAAAATCACATATAATTGAAACACTCGTGTAAGTCCTATGAATTTCACAACAGGATAATTACAAATCGAGAACAATCTGAAATGTGACTACTAATCATGGATATATGTACCGCATTTCGTTGTTGGTATGGCTGCATAGTGTGAAGTCATGATTGATTAAACATGTTAACAACAAAAAGAAGACAAAATATACTTGCAAAAAGATTTGCAAACCAGTGAACAGGCACAGTTGACAATCCCGAAGCATACAAATGAATGCCCATCTGTGCATGAAAGATAAAAGTGCCTAGACACAGAGCAGTATACTCTGGTACATTTAGGAGCTGCATACTTGCAATTTTACTGCAGACAAAAGGTCAATTAAATTTAGACGGTGCAAGGCAATAAAAAAGCTATTCCCATTCTTACATGATTTAATGAAGACCCCATCTATATAACATTTAATGGCTTCAATTCCTAACAATATATAATAGTTCAGGAAAAAATTGGCTGAATCTTTGGGGAAGACAACCCTTGCTGCAGTTTATAGACGCACTAAAATCGGGAACTTACATGGCGAAATAGTGTTATGTTTTATCAACAAATCATTCGTAAACATAGCAGATAAAGACCTATGTTTCATAAACAAATCACTAGTGAACACAGAAGAAAAGAATAGGATTCCAATGCACTGTCGAATACCATAAGGATATTGTTCAGGAAAAGCCAAATGAAAGAGACACGGAAAGCAGCCAAATGTAATAGTGAATGAAAACAGTGATCATGTAAGATGTTTTAGCTTTCTTCGTCGAACACATGTTTCTGAGTATCGGTATGTGTGTTGACAATATCCAATCTATGACGATAGGCCTACAGATCCAACAAAAGTCGATTTGTTCCAATGAGTCCCGCCAACTATGACTAAATCAGAAGTAGACATGTTATGACGCTCCTAATCGCTGTAAATTGAGACATCTCGTACTTCATTGTTTCTTCCTAGTTTTTCTTGTCGATGCAATCTAATCCGACATTTGTGACGGTCCATGCGAAACAATGTTTAGAGATGCAACATCACCAGCAAAAATGAATCGCCGTTGCACTCAAAGAAAGGAGGTCGATGCCGTCCTAATTAGGATAGCAACAGACCCGAAGCATCAAAAGATGCTACGAGAGATCAAGCGCTCCGGATGCAGGACGAAGGCGATCCGGGCGGGGGGAGGGGTTAAGCCGTACCTCCTGATGCCGCTCCGACGCTACCCGCCCTGGCAGCGGCGCGAAAGCTGTCGATCGAGAGGCTCCGTTGGGCCCTGGAGAGGACCGCGCCGACGACCAACAGGGAGGCGAGCAGGAGGAATGCGGGCCACGGGCGCAGGAGGCGAGGCGGCGTGGGGGAGGCCCGGAGGGCTCCCTCGCTCTCCGGATCGGGGGCGGTCGTCGGTTGCTGCGGCCTCCTCATGCGCTTCATGTCCATCACCACCAACACCGCATGACTTCCTCGCTTTCCAAATGGAATAGAGGAATATATAGCACGGCAAAATGGTTAAGGGTTTTCGGCTGCATGTGATTGTTCCGATGATTGACTGCTTTCTCGAAAGAGAGCGCAGCGGGTGGGGGTGGGGGAGGAGGCGGAGGAACTTTGACCCAAACAAATTATTGATCGCTCGCTCGCTCGCTTGTTACTGCTGCTACTTAGTTTTCCTTTTTCTTTTACCTGTCCTTTTGCTGAATCGGATGGGGCCGTTGGACTTGCCCCAATTATTGATTACTATTTACGGCACACACACACACCTCTTTAACCTCTTTTCTTTTATTTTTCCTTTTCCTTTTATTTATTGAATCGGATCGATTCTCCCCACGCATCGAGATTGTGATCCGAATCGAATTGATGTGATATGGATTAAGAAGGCCTTCTTCTCGAATGCTAGTATGTGTAGATTAGTGTTTGTCCCAACAACGTTAGCACACCAAAGTCGATAGGAGTATATGCTGTAGCCCGGACATGGGACATGGCATAAGCCGAAGGATATGGTAAGTATTGGTGACCTCGTCGTACCAACTTCACCTGGTTTGACTTGACTTGTAACCTACAAACAAATTATGTCACCGTGTCTCGTACGGCTAGAATGAGAACCACAGGAAAGCTCAATATTTTATATCTATCTAGCCAAACTAAAGATAATCGATCGAAGCTGATAATAATATGGAATTACTTGAATAAGTTGGTTATTTTAGTTGATAAAAACTTTCACGATTTATCGCTAAGTGCCTTTGTCATTTAGCCAAATCGATTATAGTGATCAAAATACTCGACGATTACATCTTCAAGACTATCACATCATCGTGATGATTGTGTTAGACAATACTAATGGTGACTAGATCGACCACTACCAAAATAGCCTAAATCAATATTATCGACCAAACTTTATTCTTATGTGGTGCGTTTCTCCTTTCTCCTCACACCTTGTAACTATCGATTGTCGGTCATGAGGTCTTCGAGGATAGATCAAAATGGACAAAACTCAAATCAGTGTTTTTTGATTAAAAATTAACTCACAAAACACTATTGATGGAAAAACTTTTTAGATTGGATAAAAAAATATTTTTTTTAAATAATAATTTTAAAATATCAAAAATAGATAGTGATTATTTAAAAATTATAAAAAAAGTATCATTACCAAAAAAAATAAAAAAGAATTTTTTTGGGTACAATCATCCTCTTAACAATGTTGGAATCTAGCTGGTCATGTCAAAAACCCCAAAAGGCAAGATGGTGGCGGTCTTATTGGGGCAAAACATAACACCTCCAGCTTGCACCCATGCTTTATTTATTATTGTACCACCAATCACGGTTTACGAGCGGCCATTTTACGTTACTATGTTGATCGCAGTGCACTCGTACGACTTGACATAAATAAAGGGCACTCACGATTCACGGGTATTTCTCCTTTATATTCTATACACATTTTATTTTATTTTTTGCCAAAAAAATAAATGAGAAAAATAAAATTTGATCCAGAATAAGATATTAAATTAATTATGATCTCATAAAATCTTTATCAGCTAAACTAATTAACACCTTTATACAAAAGTCAGTAGAAGCGGAGGTGTTGTAGATGCATGCACTGAATGCACGTATACTCTACATTGGTGTTTCCTAAGGAAACCAAGTGGGGAATATTTGACTCGTTTGAAACCCTTTCTCCTTACATCGATCATTAATTCTTCGCAATGGCACATCAGACTTCGGTTTGGTACATTGAATCTTTAAAGCTTTTCCACCACTGAATGTGGAGCATGAAATCTTGGAGACAGTGATAGCATAGAACTAACGAAGAACACTGTACATCTTAGACCCCATGTTCTGAGCCCCACCGCCGCCCATGCATGATCGACGACACTTTTTCTCAAGACCAGAAAAATATATGCCGTGATTGTTGTTGATCTGAGTGGATTAAGGGACATTAGAAGTCAATGGTCTTCGTTTCTTCTGTTTAGGAGCACGAAATGGATCGACCCAACCCTCGTCTTCTCTTGCAGCCTGGTCCCATCGTTCCTGGAAGAGGTAAAGCTCAGAACGGGACCGTCTCCTAATCTGTTGATTTAGCAAAGGAAAATTTACTTAACAAAAACACAAACAAAAAACAAGAAAAAAGAAACTGAAGTGTGATCTTTTGCGTCACTAGAAGCAATGAAGCAATCAAGGCTTAAATGAAGCATGAAGGTGAGAACTAATGTAGTGTGGCAAAAGAAAATTTACTTTCATATAAAACATAGAGAAAGAGAGAAAAACTAGATAAACAAATTAAACACTGGTCACCGAAAATAACTAAGGTCAGTGAAACAATCAATGTTTAAGTGAAGTATGACGTAGAATTTAGCCAAACAAAAAATTTGAAACTCTAACCAAAATCTTCCAAGTTGAAGTGCAGTGTCCAAACAACATGTTTTATTTTTTCAATATAATCCATATTGCTACAACAAATTCTTGCTCAAGTAGAGTAAGAATTGGGTACTAATACTATGTTGACATGTGTAGACCATCTGAAATCAAAGAAGGACAAGGTGGGGGTTACCTCAGTTCTAGGATCAAATGTTCCTCTCTGATAACCCTGTGTAAGATGGATGCATCAAAGATAATAAGCCCATGATAGATTTAATAAAACCATGAATTTACCAATCTACCTGCAAGGCATTGTTATGAAGGAGCCGTTTAGATCTCTTATCTGTCTGGTGGAGGCTTATCTGAAGGTCAAAATGAATAAACTCAAGATGTACTGGAAATGACAATTAATGAAAATACAGCAAATAAAATCATATTACAAAACAATACTTATTTACTGTTCTGTGGTATGTAGATAAACAAGCATGTCAACTTTGATGTGTTAGCTCAAATGGGAAAACATTGCTTTTGTTGCAAAACTAATGAATACAAAGATAAGGCTCACATCTTGAAAGAGGAAAATAAGGTTACTGTAGCTATGCGATAGGATACGTGGTAGTCCAATGTAATCACATGAATAATTTGCAAATTTTCATGGTAGTCACGTGTATTTACATGAATAATTTGCAAATTTTCGTCCATGTGCGTCACACATGCACATGGCTAGTGTATCATATACATAGGACTTCTAAAGTCTAATCTTCATATCTAATTAGAATGCTACATTAGTCTAGATTACTCTTTTTCTTACACAAGACATGCTGAAAATAATACCATACTCCAATTTTACAGAGCTGCTACAATATCCGTGCTATAATATTACTACCAGTATTTATATTTTGAGATTACAAATCCTCTTGCCATATTAAATTGATGTCCTATGCTTTTCATATGAAATAGGCTGCTGGTGTCAAACTTCCAATGCGCACAGAAGTTCCAGTTGAAGTAGCTAGCAATGGAAAACATTTACAAAAATGCTCCAGTGTTTGCATTATCCATCTAATACCGATCTAACAAATCCCAGGGTTCTATAAGTCCTACAAGGTCACATCTTCTATAGCTGACTGGACCTTGGCTTGATGGAGTCAGGCTGCAGTTCAGTGTCGCTCCAATCTGCTCCATAACATGCCTTTTCCAGGTCTCACCTCTACTATGAGGTACAAAAGGTGTGCAACTTGTTGAATTTGTTGTGATTCAACCGAGGCAAAGTCCAAGATTAAAGCCTCCATGGGCCTCATGCCTTAGGTGCCCCTTCAACAGTGGGATTGATGCCCCTCTTAGTCTCAATAATTTTATCACATCAATTTTGCAATAATTTGATACCCCAAGCAATATTGGAAATGGAATGAAGTGAAGTTCCAACTAAACAAATTTCTGTTTTTAAGGCAGTGTTTTGTGTAGAACTTAGAGAAGCACTAGCAGAATTTTGGTTCCCCAAAGCAATTTTGTTGATGAATTAGGTCATGAAGATCGAGCAAAAAGGGTTGGAGAATGCAGCTTCTGAGGGAATGCAAACACCTAAGATGATTTTCAGATGCCTCACGTGGCAGCATTTTGTCTCACCACACAAAAATGTCAATCCTACTTCCATGCATGAACCAACATGATAAAGGTCCCAAATTTAATTTGGTGACACCTTTCGACTAGCAGCTGACATCCATGTTACTCTTTTGAAGACTAAGACGGGTGTAAATTGCAAAGATCTGTTGCAACAACTAAAAGCAGTACATGTAAGCTAACCTTCTTGGCTGAAGATCCTCCCAGGGTTTGTACACCTTGATGGACTATGAATTCGCTATCTACTATACCTACCTTCTTAGTTCGGTCACCCTGCAACGCACATCAGCATTGTAAACATCAGTGAATATGCATTTGAAAGAAATCAAGAAATGTATAAAACAGTGGCACTTTAATAGCTATTGTAGTTGCAGATCAAACTATTATTGTCTTGTATCATTTATCCATACATGGATAAAAATACTTGCAGAAGGCTGAATACTGCAATTTTGATAAAAAAAAAATCTTAAGAGGAAGTTTTCAACACCATGCATGCTGTAACAAAACAAATTAAGCAGCACTTCTTGTACCAATTACATGATGTGGATATGGAGAGTAAATGAGAAAAGAATCAAAGACAAGACTAGGACTCCATCCCAAAGTTATATATTAGCAAACTTTTATGACGTGGACTCCATATAAGAATGTGACTAGGACTCCCATCTCAAAATTCCAACTAATGTAACAGTGCTAAAGATCCTGATAACTGATTTTTAGTCAACATACTATGATATCCTTGTCCCACGTAATCAGTACTAGAAGAAAGTTATGATCTTGAGGGAATGCATTCTAACTAAAAGTTGTCCTGTTATCAGCCGATTCTGATGGCCTAAACCTATCAGCCATACAGTGCTTGTAATAGGGATTGGGAAACAATAGAGGTACATCTGTAAGAGGGTACCTACCAGTTTGATATGCATTATGTGCTGGGAAATGCAGTACTATAAAGCTAATTAGTTCGCATATATTCAGTAGCAGTGGCAAACAGTACATGTCCTGCAAATGTGTCATCTGAATTGGCTAGCAGGTAGTACTTAAAACCCAGAAAGTTCCTGAATACTTATTAACCTATACAAAGAAATACTGAAGAGACAGATTTTTGTGGAAAAATCATATCCTATATAACTTCTTAATGCATTTACAAAGAAGCTCCATTCTACTGGGAAACAGCAACCTGACCCGTGAAAGCCTCATGCAAATGTGTCCATTCTGCTTCATTCATGCATAGCGATCCTAATCACTTACAAATTTATGAACTTTAATGACCAAAGGAATCAGCAATGTTATTGTGCATGAGCGAGTTCAGTACAAGAGATCTACCTGAGCACAATATCCGAGTTTCATATCCATGCCCCACCCATGGATTAGATCATTCTGTGAAAACAAAGTATTAATTTGGAAGATCATTTTGATTTCAACAGATAATAGTTTAGTTCAATCGTAGAATTACCTCTCCAAAATACAAATTGGTTGATTCACATGGACCAGAATGGTCATTTTAAATATAGCATTTCAGTAATCTCTTGTCATTTTGGTGTAGAGATACATACAAGTACCAACAAAATTAATGAGACGTAGCAACTGAGTTATGTTAACCTTTAGGTTGTAACAGAGTCATTCAATGAACTCATACCAATGTGTGTGATGTGATGTAAGGGTGATTTAAGGAAAAAAAATCAGACTGATTGACAAGTCCGTTAATATATTTCATGTACTACGCGAACTTCAATGCCAGTCCATACTTGAGTATTGGGTAGGTAGCAAACTGGAACAGAATGTTTGGTATAAACTATAAACCATGATATAGTGTTGAGAAAAAAATACCAAAAAATGTTTGAAATGTCAGTGTCTGCTTAGACCACATGCACAGTTAGACAAATATCCAAATCCATGATTCTACACAATGTCAATACTGTTAGTCCAGAGTGAAAATAAACTTTTCTTTTGGAATCCTTGCATCATAATCTTGAACTTCAAGTATTAGCAAAGATGAATGCACTCAACATCTGACATTGCATATTCTAGTTCATATGTTAGTAACAATGTAATAATTAAGCTAATAACGAAATAACTCAGATATTTGATCCTTTGCTAATTTGAGGGCTCATAGAGGTTCTGATTGCACCAGGTTCACTAATTATACAACATTCAGTTCTACCAAGAACGATATATAATTCTTTGCAGAAAGGTTTGACAAAACTTCATGACCAAGATAGGTAGAAGTAGAATAATAGCAGGGGTTCTCTGTATCATATATTGGAAAACTAAAAACATCTTAACTTCTCAATGGCTCCATTATATATTTACTCTAATTAAAGTCCTCAAATCTCCCAAATCTTTACATTTGTACAAGCACTTTCAGGACTCTAGTTTCTAACATAAGATATATTTTTATTGTTGTCGGTGATGAAATAACCCAAAAATTGGTTTATGGATTAGCTAAGGTCATCGGCAACTCAATTGTTTTTCCATATATTGGGGATTTTATATTCCAGATCATGATACAACGATAGAAGGCCTGCCTCATTGCATATCAGCTGAGACCATGGTATATCACTGCATAAGGTTAGTGCTGCAGTTATATTTTTCACAAGTTTTTCAAAGTTACTAATAAGAAGGCAAAATATAATTAAAAAAAAAAGATGTACCCGATGCACAAGACTCCCACCAATGAGGCTCTGGGAAAGGTGGGGTGGTTTAATATACTTTGTCTTACTTTACATATTTAAAAAGACTGTTTCCATGACTCGAAAGTTTATCAAAAACATATTATCAATTTTCTCAAATCATCATAAAGTTATTTACCTCCTCGAAAATTGGATGAGACCTTGTTTAACCTTGAGACCATTATGTTTGAGCAAGTTAACTGGAGTATTTTGACTACATTTGAGATGATTTAACATAATAAAAATGCTCTACCAACCAAAACTTAAAATCACCCTAATCCACCAACTGCTAAATACAAAATGTCATTTTCCTAACTCACTTGAACCTATTAATAATTCTTCACTTAAACCAACCAAATCCATTACTATTCTCTCCTCCTCTCCCTAAGTCCCTTAAATCCTAAATCCGCTAGCACCCACCCCATCTCTCTTCCTTCCTTCCCTCCCTATCCTTATCATCTCCTACTTCTAAACCTTCCCATGATGATTTTGACTCGTATTGTCCACTAACAAGTGATGTTCTAGAAGTGTAACATTGAAACTGCTCAATACTAATTACGAATATGTGATCAATTAATAGTCTTCACAACTTCAAATCCCTTTTTTTTTTATTTCCAAAAAAGTTTCCCTACACAATACATGCCATTCTCAAAACTTACAAGACTAAATTCTATATACCCATGGAACTCCTAAATCTCAAGATTTACCACCTTTGAAATTCCAACCAAGACATCTCATGCTTGAAATCCCCCATCCAATCACAAATTTAACATTTTACCAAACCAGAAGCCTTGCACCAATAAGAATGTCTAATGGGAGAAATATCAGCAGAATAACAAAATGGATCACCATGATACAGAAAAAGCTGAAAAAAGAGAGCATTTTCATAGAAGGTGGTTCAAAGATCTAACTTGCACAAAGAACAGTAGGATGTTGAATTTTGAGTTTGGCAAAAATGTAACTTACCTGAATGAGATGCCAAGCACAATGCCAAGCAGACCTCGAGAAAACTGGAGCCATTCCCTCAACCCATCTAAAAATAGTACACTAGTTAGCATCACATATAATGAAAAGGGTTAGTATTAATTTGTACCACTTGGTCTAAATTGAACCTTTGAGGGCTCTCATCTCAAGGAAAAGATCATTAAAAAGGGAAAGCAAGATACTTCACCAACACAAATCACTAATAAAATGCTTCACTAACACATACCCAGTGCAAGGAGGGCCAGTGCTAGTTGATGAACATTCTCCAGTACCTCGAGTACCAAATACTCTTCTGCATGTATATTCAGTTGCATCAGCATACACTCTCAAATGGCTAAAACAGTTGTTCAAAATGTCATCTACCTGTGGACGGTCCTTTTCTTTCTGCGAACAGTTATCCGGTGATGTATCTCAGATAGATTTGGGTCCAAAGCTGGCTGAGAAATCTCTAATCCTTCTGATTTCATTATTTTCAAGTACCTTTCAGAAAAAAATTCCACCAAAAAATTCATAAAAAATATGCTAATTTTGCAGGCTGCATTATGTATGTTTATATGCACTTCTACATAATCCCTTTTAAGATAAGGGCGCACCCAGTGCACAAGGATCCCGCTAATGTAGGGTCTGGGGAGTGTTAATATATGCAGTCTTATCTTTAAATATTTAAAGAGACTATTTTTGTAACTCGAACCATAGTCTCCCGAGTCACAAGGGAGCAACCTTAATATTTTATCAAAGCACAACGTCTATACAATCCCTTTAAGATAAAATTTTATTTTAAAAAAGAGTGTAGGTAAATTAGACTATCATCTTGTCCCCATAATATATATGCATTTGATGTTTACTCTTCACTACCATGAATTCAGTGGCTTCTTGAGTCTCAGAATCTCAAACATTTGCCAGATATAAAAGCCAATATGCATTGTTATTACCAAACTATTGGTTTCCATGCACATAGAGCAAGAATGTGAAAGCATCATAAAACACCTCTACCTGATTTTGGTTTTCATTTCAGTTTAGAGTAAGGCAGAGTATTAGAATTGGCCATGGCTAGATCCCCTTATTATTCTTCAACTAATTAAGTAGATGCAGTTCATGCCATAGATTTGTTTCATATGGGTTGAAAACCTAAATGATTCCTGTGCAAGTAAAAAGTATACCACTTTTCTGAGGAAAAGTTTATTAAGTTAGCCCATTGTATTAGATGATCATTAAAAGAAGTAAAAATTGTACCTTCCAGGATGGAAATTTTCAACCCCCAAGTCTTCATCCCAAAGAAATATGTAATCATATATGGAGACAGTATCTGGATGCAGAAAACGTTTTGCGAACCACCTGGAGCTACCAGAATTAGATTGAATCATGGAAGCAACAATGCAAAGTAAAAGAAATAATAGAATTTAATCTGGAATAAAGGATGAAAAAAAAAAACAACCAGAAATTGTTCCAGATATAAGTTCAGGAAATATTCCACTTTTGATCAAGGAAGACAATGGAAGACAGCATTAGAAAATCCTTATGCAGTATGAAGATTCTGTAAAAACGACTCAATTCAACAAAATGCTAGAACTTCATAAATGCCTCACCATTTAGTTTGGCTATGAGCAGCTATGTGAATCACAATATGACTCCACCAGAGATCGTGCCATTCATTGACAATTCCATCATAGTGAAATAGTATAATAGCAAAATTCTCTGAAAGAAACTGAATACTCAATGATCAGGAGATAAGCAGACAGTATATAAAGTTTAAACCATACTTGTAAAAGTACCTTCCTAACAATTGCATCCACAGTTAGCTTCTGCTTTATCCCAACAGTCATTGCCAACAAGTTATGATGACTTTGATCATTGTCCTGCTACAGTGAAGCAAAGCAAGTCCAACTCAGCATAGCATTCACTGATGGAAAGACCAAAACCAGAAAGTTTGGATTATATTCCCCAAAAAAGGGATAAAACCTGAATCTCAGAATGCATGGGCATGCATTGCACTTAATATATTGAGATATTTTTCCCTCCAGCAACAACAACAACAAAATGTAATTCCAATAAATGATATATTCCATGGAATTTGGATATATGATGTATGAAAAGTAAAAGAAGAATGAGTTTATAAAATCAGGATGCTAGGAGCTAATAAGGAAATAAAATTACAGAAGAAAGCATATTTTTTAACCTTCGTCACATGGCTTTTGGAAAACCATAGGGGCTTTAGTTCCAAATCCGATTTTGATTGTGCCATACCATGAGGTAGGTAACCAACCCTGACAGAAACTGATTTATGGTCCTAAATCACAAGAAACAATATGGTCAAAGAATACATACATACATACATACATACATACATACATACATACATACATACATACATAAGTGGAAAAGAAGCCATGATAACCTTTTGTTGTCAAACATTATTAACAATTAAACATATATATATATAGTTCCAAATCCGATTTTGATTGTGCCATACCATGAGGTAGGTAACCAACCCTGACAGAAACTGATTTATGGTCCTAAATCACAAGAAACAATATGGTCAAAGAAATGATACATACATACATACATACATACATACATATATACATATATACATATATACATATATACATATATATATATATATATATATATATATATATATATATACTATTAAAAGTGGAAAAGAAGCCATGATAACCTTTTGTTGTCAAACATTATTAAACAATTGACAGTTTCGTCAATTAATCACTTCCTGTGCAATTAATGTCATATATCAAGGACTTTACATTTCTAAAATAAAATAAAATGGGTGCCAATATAGGCAATCTCTGTGTTTCATACTTATATATTAATATATATATATATACTTCAGAGGATTATTTTCATTAAAGTAGGTCCTTGATTAAATAGTAAATAGTGAAAAGTGTTCAGTATATCAATTATGGATTATATTGTCACTGATGTTAAAGATGTATAAGCCTTATGTTCTAGGAGCTGATTAATGATTGTAATTTGTTAATTATTAAACAATACTAAATATGGTTCTGAATTCTTTGATGAAATCATCTAATGCTTTCTCTTGAAAATTTAAAACCTTTCTAATTATGAGGTCTAAAGATGGATATTCTGTTTCTAAATTTAAAATTTAGGAGAAAGATCGGCATTGCTTTGGTTCAACCAATGTGTCTTTAATATATAGGTGGCAGCTGATTGATGATAATATTGTTGCATTCAGAAGGCTAAATATGAACAGATCTACTAAAGTTTTAATAACTCATAAGTTGGAATTGAGTAGTGACATTAAGCACTTAGGTATTACAGGTAACAGTAATAATACCTTCATTGAATCAAAAGGATGAAATCTTGTTTCCAACTGCACATATCAAGAAACAAATATGAAAAGCATTTAGAATGAAATAAATGATAAAGTGAAAAGATTTTCTATCTTGTAGAGATTTACCTCTGCATGTTGAAATTGAAAGTTCGTTGTCCTATAGACAATAAGCAGTACTGCCCACATAAGCACCATGTACAGCTTCGGTGTCATTTCAAACAGCACTACCTACATTATTCACTCTGTAACCTTAGGTGTCCATTATAAAATCTTAAAACAATGCAACTTTGATAAATTATTGAAAAGAATGATCGATTGAAGAAATTAAGAAAAGAAAACTGGGTCCAAGCAGATTCATAATCGTTAATTATTATAGACATGCTAGACGCACTAAAGTAACCGGAGATGATGGTCTCCACTAGGTAGTTGAAAGGGATCACTAAATGTACCAACCAGATTCTCCTGAGAAACAAAAAAGAACAAATCATCAAATTGGACTGACGATTCATGTTGCTTGATGGTCTATGTGCTTCTGGATATCAAGAATTATGCACAGTCAAGAAGCCATTCATGTGAGAAAAGTGCTCTAATTAATATCCCAGGACCTCACCTCGGCCACCACTTCTATTTCATTCTTTGGCTCCACGGAGATTCCAACATCAAGTTAAAGAAGAAGGATCTATATGATAGTTGCGGTGAAACAAAAGAACACAACTAAACAGAGGACCAATTCAGTTACATGTACACTCAATTGTCCGCAGTCAAATAGGAAACTAAGTGTCGAGTGACCAGCTTTAACTAACATAAACATAGATCTTCGATAGAAAATTATATTTATATTTCATCTAAGCTCCCTAGTGCTAGCTTTATACCAGAAAATTCCTAATAGCAGTTTTCTCTTAGCGTACGAACACCATAAAAAATAGGCAAATTCCCGACCAAATTCTTTCTCCAGCAACAAGAGGGGAAAGAAAGAAGAAATGCATTACTCCTCTTACCCCAGCAACTGCAACTAAAGATCTTCAGCTAGTGGATTTCTCAGAGAGAAAAAGTGATCCGAAAACCGAACAGTGCTAAAATCCGGTTAATTCTTTCGGGGCTTCTGGTTCTTGGACATGATCGGAGCCGATTCACCGCCAATTCTAGTTTTAGCCGTGCAATACAAATCAAAAAGCAAATTTAATGTGATTCTCCGAAGAAATGAAAGCGACACCAAAGAGGAAAATTACGATAAATCACACCACCGAAACGTCGCCGGAATAGGACAAGCAAGACGGAACGGATTACCAAGAAAGAGACGGAAGAAGCGGAGGGCTACGGCGGAAATCCCGAGGATGTAGCCACACTCCGCCCACACAAAGAACACTTCTGTGAGCCAGTCGACACGGCGGCGGCTTCCTTCCTCCCTCTGCAGATTCGAGCTCAAACCTCGAAAGGTAGAGACTTGTGGGCGTCCGGAGCTCTAGAGAGGGGGCAAGGGAAGAGGAGAGCAGGTGGAGAGGGGAAGTTCACATCCTCCCGTTCCACATCGTGGCGTCATATATGCATGGGGAGGCGCTCTCTCTCTCACTCACTGGATGAAGCGGGTGGCGCCCTCCCTTTTCGTTTCCATATTTTAAATACGCGGCCCGCTTCTGCTTTTAACAAAAGAAACACTTACCCATTTGGTGATTGGAGATTTGGCTGTGGGTGCCACCTATAGTGCAGTCTGAAAAAGCAGGTGAGTCTTCCGGGTATCGGATATTCGGAGACGCAACAAGCAGTAATGGTAACGGGTCACGACCCGTCGATTTCACCCAAATCAACCGCTATCATAAATCCGATTTATAGCCATCTTAATTTAACTTAAATAGATATTAATAATTTAAAAAATCTCAAACCTAATTAAACATGTTCGAGTATGGAAAGAACTCGACCGGCTCTGCCGTCCTTATGACCTCATGGACTGCATGTTTGGAATCCTAGAACGGCACACCCGTTTGTCTCTTCTCTTCTCTCTCTGTTTTTTCTAGGGTCATGGAAGACAGTGGAGACGCGGAACTGTCTTCTCCATGCCGCTGGAGAAGGTCGCTCATCGGCTGTCGCCATGCTCAACCCACTCTCAATGACACAGCGAGTCACCCGGGCACGTCAAATGGAAGACACTTAACATGAGTGCAGGCCTGCCACTAACATAGTGCTGAATCACATTAATAAGCATAGAAGAAAGGAATAAATGGCTGCCATGTCTTCAAGAAACGTATCCAGCTTTATTCCATACCTCTTGTGTCCATTCTCTACGACTCTCAACCACCAAACTGCATCATCGTTGTTTCCTTCCTACTGCCTTCATTTCTGCTCATGCATTCATCCCCTCCAACCTTTGCCTCATGTCGCCTCTCTCCTTCCTCCTCGTCTTCCTCCTGATCAGCCTCCCTCCTTCCCTCCAAGCTTCTCTTTCCCCTCCCAGAGGTAATCAATATAACTCATGGTCAATTTGTTCATTTCTCAGTTCTTTGTAAATGGTTATGTTGTTGTGATGAAGGTTTCAGCATAAACTGCGGTTCCAAGAACGTGGAGAACATTGGAGGCATCGAGTGGATCACCGATGATAGCTTCGTCAAAGTTGGGAATGCAACCGATCTAAACATTCCAGGCATTGTTCCAGTACTTTCATCCCTACGCTACTTTCCTGACAAATCCGCTCGGAAGTACTGTTACGTGATCCCTGCAGCCAAAGGCGCAAAGTATTTGATCCGAACGACCTACTACTACGGGGGCTTCGACGGAGGCAACGAGCCACCGGTGTTCGATCAGATAGTGGGAGGCACTAAATGGAGCACCGTCGACACGTCGGAGAACTACGCGAAGGGCCTCGCGTCTTACTACGAGATCATCATGGCTTCACCGGGGAAGACGCTGAGCGTGTGCTTGGCGAGGAACGAGCACACCATGTCGCGCCCTTTCATATCTGCTCTCGAGGTGCAGCACTTAGAAGGCTCCATGTACAACTCCACCGATTTCGCCATGTACGCACTTAGCACAGTCGCTCGCCATCGGTTCGGTCACGGCGGCCAAATCACAAGGTAATCGAGCTACATCAATCACTGCGAAAGAACACAAGCTGGAGTAGCTCTGCTGCAACAATCTTTCATTAGAATTTGAGTGTAGAAGATGCTAAATGATAAGTATTGTCAACTAGCTATCCGGATGATCCATTCAACCGGTATTGGGAGCCATTCGTGGATGCCAACCCCGTGGTGGATAGCCAGACGAACGTGACCTCGTTCGAGTTCTGGAATCTACCGCCGGCAATGGCGTTCCTAAACGCACTGACGACGAGCCGGGGCAAGAATCTTACGATCCAGTGGCCTGCAGTGGCGCTACCTAACGCAAGCTACTATCTGGCGTTGTACTTCCAGGACAACCGGAGCCCGAGCCCTTTCAGCTGGAGAGTATTCGATGTTTTGGTGAACGGGAAGACTTTCTACTCCGGCCTCAACGTTTCCACCGGCGGTGTCGTGGTCGTCGGGGACAACTGGCCGCTTTCGGGGCTGACAGAGATCAAGCTGACCCCTGCCGTGGGTTCCCCTGTTGGGCCAGTGATCAACGCAGGGGAACTCTCCATGGTAGTCCCCCTGGGTGGAAGAACGCTGACCAGAGATGGTAATCAAGAGATTCTGTAATGCTGAAGAACAAACACAAATCTTTCTCATCTAATCCGTTCTCTCCATTTCGTGTTCTGTGCAGTGATTGCAATGGAGGCGTTGGCGAGAAGCTTTGACAACCCTCCATCAGACTGGAGTGGGGATCCTTGTTTACCTCGACAGAGTGCGTGGACTGGCTTGACGTGCTCCGGAGGGAAAATTATGCGAGTAGTCTCACTGTGAGCTCAAAACACCATCACCGGGCATGAACGCTTTTGTGTTTGGATACGAGGCCTTTGAGCAACAAGATATTGTTTTCTTGCAGGAATCTGACAAATTATGGGATCTCCGGATCACTACCTAGCAGCATAGCCAAGTTAACTGCAATCTCAAGCATGTAAGCTTCTTCAATGCTTTTACCATGTCAGAGATGCACTTCCATCTGCAACAAAACTAGTGTTGCAGTATAATGAGGTCTACACAGTGAGATGAATGACAGTAATGTGGTGCTTGTAGTTGGCTTGGAGGGAACAAACTCTCTGGTCCTATACCCGACATGAGCTCACTCAAACATCTAGCTTCTCTGTAAGCTCCAACAAGAAAGCATTTCCTGTTTCCTCAGTTCATTACTTGGTCTTCTTCCTTATCCTGGATAATCCTGTTTGCCAAATGAAGGCACTTGGAAAACAACCAGCTAAGTGGAACAGTTTCTCCATCACTAGGATACCTTCCGAAACTTCAAGAGTTGTAAGTAAAGGAATTCTCACTCTGCATGATTATCAAAACCACAGACTCATCCTGTACTAACAGATTTCATTCTTTGTCAAGATATCTGCAGAACAACAATCTCCAAGGTCCACTTCCAGACAGTCTAAAACAGAGAAAGGGAACCATTATTCAGTGAGTTCTGTTCTTGGCTTTTCATCTTCCAATTCAACTAAACGTTTCCCTGCTGCCAAACACCTGAATCTGGCAACTTAACAGGGTGTCTCCTGGAAACTATGGACTCTGATCTCTGGACGAACGAAAAGCGTCACCAGAATACAGCAAAGCGCTTTGTCATGTGAAGATTTTACTGAGATCATGGTCTGTGGCTGCTTTTGTTGTCGTTGTACATGTTGCAGCAAAGATTTGCCTAACTTTAGTTCATTAGAGAGACGCCGTTGTGGATCTCTCAGCCGCTGTTCATCCTTGTTTTGCTTGTAGTTGAACTTGATTGCAAATGTTTGAATTGGCTGCAGTATATATACATTTTTCCATTGTTTTCTTGGCAATTGTTGATGCTTTACGATTAGCTCTACTGATATGAATTGTGCCGAATGCTTCAACCTCAGAATTGTACTACTATTGTGCATACAATTGGAGTTGCTGAAGCCGAAACACAGCCAAACAAAATGCATCCAATAACAAAAAAGACCCTAAATTCTAATAAAAATGGTCATTACACTCTTGATACTATAAAAAAACGTAAATATAGTGAAAAACGGTATTTGTGGGTTGACGTCTGCTTTCGTATAACCCGTGTTGGTGGGACCCAGCTGTGGACCCGGAAAGTTTGGCCTGTGAGAACACGAACTAACACTTGTGCCGCGTGACAAGAAATGGTAGGAGAAACACGTGCGGGAAGAAAAATATACCACGTTTTGCGTCATTCATGATCTCATGGTGGTGCCTGTTTGGTCCGAACCATTTGCGAATCTGTTTCCAGCTCCTGCACTATCAACTTTTGGAAGGGACCCATGGTGGGCTACGCGTATCTAGGCCAGTCGTTGCAGGGGTAGCCAATCGGGTAAGAGCAGACGCCTTCGGAAAGCTATCACTTTGCTGCGCTTGGGGTTCCATTTCGGTGAGGGATCTCCGTTCATCAAGATCACAGATCAAGTGCCGACAAACGAACGGTCATTAAGCCGCTTAAAAGAAACCCCTTATGCTGTTATCTGGTTGGGTGCATTACCCTCCGCGAAGCCACCTCTTCTCGTTCTCATCGGAGCATAGGAGCAACTCCGATGGGGGAGGGTTAGGGGTTAGTGGAGGAGATGACTTCTCTCTTCTTCCTGTTGGATTTCTCAAACCCTAACCATGGCCCTCGCCAGCCCTAATTCCTTTCTCTCCAAGCCCCCATCCGCACCTCTTCTCTGCTTCTCTTCCCACTCCCTCCTGCGCTGCCGCGCCGCGGCGGACGCCTCCGACGCCGCTGCCACCTCATCGGATTGGTTCCGACCCCGGCGCGACCCGCCTGATGGAGGAAGAATGGCCGCTCGGGACCCCGGGATTCGGGTTAACGCCAAGGAGGAGGGCAAGAGCCAGAACAACGACGGCAAGAAGAAGAAGAAGAAGTGGTGGTGGTGGTCTCGGGACAGGGAGAGCTACCTGGCCGACGATTCCGACGCCCTGCCGCTGCCGATGACCTACCCGGATTCGTCCCCTGTGTCGCAGCAGGAGATCGACCGCCGGCTCCAATGTGATCCCGATGTCCAGGTTGCAGATTGTACTTGTTTATTTTTAGCTTTGCTGGATCGGTTTCGGTAACTGTGAGGTCCTTAGTCATCTTTGTTCTTCTGTCCTGGAAGGATTGTAAACCTATGGTGTACGAATGGACGGGGAAGTGTAGGAGTTGCCAGGGGACGGGGTTCGTTAGCTACTACAACAAAAAGGGGCGTGAGACGATCTGCAAATGCATTCCTTGCCTTGGAATCGGTACGTACAATTCCTTCTTCCGTTTGACTTTTTTTTTTTCTCTTTTTCATTTGGGTTTAGATTTGGTTGGATCCTAAAATGAGGCTGTTTCAACTACTATAATTATTGATTTAATTTTCATATGAATAGAAATTTATGAAGAAGTGGAAGCTAGAAGTGCTAGAGACATACACTAAAGAAGCTTACCATTTTGCTTAAGCTTTTTTTTTTCTTTCCTTAAATGTATTTTATTTCATTGAGGAAAGAGGAAATTAGTGGATTTTATTACTTCATCTGTCCAATTCTTTGGTCAACCCTCTCCCATAGATAATGTAGGAGGGAATTACCCTTATTGATTCCCTGCAACTATGAAGACCCTAATTCAGTTCCTCAGGAGTCTGGAGAAGTCACTACCTAAATTTCTTATACCTTGCATAGTCCTTGGTTACTTGAAATCTGGGATGCATTGGTTTATGATATGGTTACGTGTTATGCCACTTACCTGGGTTTGCAGTCTGTGAGAGTAGGAGCAGTTAGTGTTCTTTCTTTTTCTCGAGGTCAATGTGCATATTGAATCACTTAAGTCATTTGTTACATTAGATAGAACCCAACTAACTTTGCCCCAAGAATATTAGTTCAACTGAAAATAAACACAACTCCACCCCTGAACTAAATCTTGCCAAATTAGGCTTTATGATGGAACCATGGTTGCATCAAATCATCTCAGGTTCATGTTCCATTAGATTTCTTTCATCAAGTTTAAAAGAGTTCTTAAGCCACTAGGGCTAGGAACTCTTGTAAGTTCGTCTTTATAATTAATTTCATATATTTCAAATTTAGAAGAGTTCTTTAGCTACTAGGAAGCTAGTTTTTAAAAATTTGATGTCTCTTTTAGTTAGGAACTAGAAAACTATGGGATATATGATATCGGAGAAGTCTTCTTGTTACAGGTGTTTTATAAGTGAATGTTAATTTTGTAATGTGTTATATGCCAAAATATATGAGAAAGTTAATGAATTAAGGTTCTTTGCTCTTCCACCATGTGAGCTTCTGTCATGGCATGAGTCCATTAATGCCAATGTTTTGTTTAGGAAACATTAATTCCAGTGTATGTGAGGCATATTGGTCTGGAGTGAGTTGGGCTTAAGGTCTCTCCATAACACTTATCCATCTTCTCCTTTCTGTTTCATTGTTTGCTATTTGCCACCGTTTTCTGCATATTTGTTGCATTCGATGGACAATGACACTTGTGCTTTTTCATTAATCGCTTGACAATAATGCTGTGCTCAATCAGGTGAAATGAGATTATAAATAATTTCTGTAATCTGTTTTCTCCGTGTTGTATAAGTAACTTATTTTGGTTTAGACTGAGTTGGAATACTATTAAGTAATTGAAAATCAAACTATTGACTTCTCGGATTTTTTTGAGGTTCTGAATTTTTCCACTTTTTGAATCGCCGCTGATTCTTTGAAGGCTATGTAAAGGTTTGTTATATTGTGACATGATAGACTATGGAGTCTTTGATTTGAAATTTTAGATTTCTTTTTTCTGGCATATGATTGTGATGCTTAAAACTCCTGGTGCTAGGTAAGTAGGTAACAACCAACAAATCCAGTATTATATTTTTCCCATGATTCTTCATTTCAATCTTGTTGCTTTTCTTGGAAAATTCCCGTTATACAGATTCGTGCACATTCTGATTTGGAACAGGTAAAACATTTGGTAGCATTTTTTCTTCCACAAATTGAAAATGTTCGATGCTTATCAATCAAATTCTTTGCTGCCTGAATTTCCAGCCACTTCGAGTTCCCTTATTTTCTTTGTTTTGGGGTTTAAGATATATTGGTTAAGCCTTACCTTTTAGTCATGGGTTCCTATATTGCAAAAACAGAAAAAAAAATGTTTCCCCAAAATTCTAAACTCATAGGTTCTTAATTTTCCAAATTCACATCTGAAATAAAAATCCAAAGAACACCTTTATCCAAACTTGGTCTTTTAGATCCTTTTGTTCAACAAAAGTTCAGCACGGTTCTTTTCCTATATCATCATGATCTGTGATATCTTCTAATATTTATATCCACATCAGTTGATTGAAAATCTATAATTAACAAGAAGTGACCTGTTATGTTTGAGCAATTTCGGTATATATACTGGAAACGGAACAAAGATAAGTGTCTGAACTTTTCTATAAGGGGTGTGCTAGTGCACAAGGCTTCCGTCAATGTTGGGTCTGCAGAGGATCAATATACACAGTCTTGTCTTTAAATATTTAACGTGTCTGAACTTTTCTAAAATGAGAATTAATTATAACTTGGTGACCAGTGCTTTGGCACCAAACACTTACCGAATTTACTGAATTTGCTGTCTTAGTTTTATTTGCCAGCATGCAGTTTCCAATGCCAAACACATGTATAGTAGAATTAACTTTTAATGTAGAGAAAACAGGCATATATGGCCATTTGAATCTCTGCCGTCTTCTCTTATGTGCATTAACATTTCCTGCCTATTAAGGTCAGCTAGTCTCCTATTCCAAAAATGTGAATGTGATGAAACTTTATTCATGGTTCCAACTTGACCAATGCTGGAATGTGCTCTGCTGGATTTGTTTCTCCTCCTTTTTATTTTGTTAAGATCACATTAACCAAAGCGGACCTATAAGAGGTGCTGCTGGAGGCAAGGAGGGTTCCATGGTATATCCTTCTGGACACAAAAGTGGTTCATGAAGCATTTTAAATTCGAAATGATCTGATTTTGTATTTATGAAACTTATTTTAAATTCGAAATTACCTTTTCTTTTTCATTATGTTCGGGTGATATATTTTGTTATTGTTGATATATTATGTTCGGGAAATTATATTGTTATTGTTTGACACATGAACATTTTGAACACTTAACAACACATCTCTAAATCTCACATTCTGGTTGATCGTTATTTAGGATATGTCCAGAAAATAACAGCTCGGGAGGACATCGATGTGATGGAAGATTTGGACAATGGTAAACCACCTTAATCCATTGCCTTATGTTGCCATGGCAGCAGCATTTCTTGTTTACAATGATGAGTAATTTTTCATCAATGATCTTTAAGATTCCTTTATGAATTGGGTGTAGAAGCATTATTCACGTTTATTAATGAGATTCCCATGTATCTTCCACAACAGGCATATTAGAGTTATATATATATATATATATATATATATATATATATATATATATGATACTTGATAGCCTAAAAGATTCTGGTTCTGAGTTTTCAAATGGTATGATGAATCACTTCCTTGGCAGTCCCATACACAACTAATTGGATAAATCAAGGTGGCTTTTCTTTGGGCAAGAGAAAGATGACATGGGCTGTGCTTCCCAAACTTGATTTTAACATGCAAGGATGTCAGGTACATCACTCTTAGTAATCATTACAGCATTATCATCCTTGTTCTTTTTTTTTTTTTCCTTTTTTCTTCTCAAACCTGATATCCTGAAGGAATCTTCAAGCTATCATTTTTCTTTCCTTTCTTAACTAAACTAGCTACTACCTGTAAACTATCATCGATCATTGTTCCTCCAAACCATTCCAGCCAATGTATATAATAACATCGATGACTTTGGAAGTGCATTGGGGTTGGGGGGTGGGGAGAGCATAGAACTCACAGGCCCAAAGGACTCCATTGCAATCATCTGATAAGCTCAAAGACTCCTTTCCCCATGAAGCTCCTCAAAGGAGGAATCCTTGCCGCCACGAGGGGAGACCAAAGGAGAGAGAGGACTCGCTCCAGGCCACGAGCTCCCCTTTGCCAACGGAGCAGATTCATCACTATTATAAGCACTGCTCCACTCGTTCTGGGCATGTGGGGTGACAACCATAGTGTTTGTTGGGGGAGTAAAAGCTCTGGTTTTCTGAAATCTACCTTGGACTTGTGTGTCGCTTACTGAACATAGGCATTGGTTGAAAAGATAGAAAGAGGGATTGCTTCCAACTTTAAAATCACCAATATGCCTGTCCTACAGAATCAGTATGCTTCATTGTTTTAGCTTCAGCATCCTTCACCAAGGTTAACGAGGCACAGAAACAATGAATACTATACTACTTTAGGATGGTGGGGGTGCAATTGGCAGTCTCACTTGAACGTTTCACATGTGTGTATAGTATAGTAAAATAGTTAGGTAGTAAGGGATGGTGGTAAAGGCGCCATTCATGTGCCCACATGGAGCTCCCGATCTCCACACCCCAAGAAGGCAGATCACAAGGTTTGATGATATTATAATCCAAGGAAAACAAGCAGAACCTTATCGTAGTTTGCTCCGAGTAATATACTTCATCGAGTCGTATGCATGTATATATGTACATAAAAAAGAAGAGAATAAAAAGTTCAGAAGAAGAAGAAGAAGAGGTTTCTTGTTCTTGTGATGAAAACGGAGGGAGAGATCTCTGGGTTTCACGTGGTCTTATCGAGCTGTCCACATCGCCAGCTCACGTCTTGCTAATGACAAATGAGTCAAAGGCCAGTCAATGGAAACTCCATCTTCCTTTCCTTAAAGTAAGCTTGCGAATCTCTTGGGACCAAATGCTGGGATCCCATCCATGACCTCTCTCTCTCTCTCTCTCTCTCTCTCTCCTTCCCAAGCCAGCAGTAGGAATCCAACACAATAATACGAACAATGCATGAATAGCCATCCTGCACTTGTTTGGATCCTTCAAATTGTAGGTTTTCCGACATCATTTTGGTTTATAATAGCCTCTTGTCATGATGACTACCGAAAACATGTCTCAATTAACTTGTTTTGCGAGCTACCAATTAGTTTCATGGTGTTTGCCAGAACGTTGTCTTTTGTGAACTGCGACCACCTAAATTATTATTTCATGTTGCATAAACTGCTCGGTCAACCTTCTTCCGAAGAAAAACTTGATGTGGGCACAGCAGTCAGCTTGATGGCACAAAAGACAGCAAGATTCAGCTCATACTAGTGAGCTACTTTTCACTGTTCTTACTTGAACTTGCAGTTTAGATCATTGCTTTGGTTTCGCCCACCTACTCTTCATGCATTGATGCAGTTAAAGATGATGATGCCACAAGGAAGGTTTTAGCTGATGCATTAAAGTTGATCGAGTCCACCAAAAACCTATGACAGGCAGATATCATCTGTCGATTCCATCTCACAACTAAAACTCTGTTTCTGAACAATGTATGTAGTCTCTGAAACAAGCTCGTGTCGATCCATAAATCATCATTCCTTTCCATGGGAGATGCATCGGTTGCTGATTTATTAGCATTCCATCGAGTCGGAACCTATTGATTAGGAATAAAGATTTGCTACCTTATCACGATGTATAACTCTCCAGCTTCCACCGACAGCTTAATCGTCTTCTACAAGGGACCACAACAAGGGTTGCATCTTTCTTCCTGTGAGTTCATTCAGAGTGTATTGTAGACGCCATACTATCCCTCCAATCTTTGTACTCTTCGTATACTGCAACGATACATGGCCATGGCGAACCAAAGCGTTAGATGGTTAATCAACAGTCATTGACAGTTCTAGATGCCAGCCTAAACATATTCAACAGTACATGTCATGCAACCATGGCAGAACTCTCAGCCCTCTCTCTCTCTCTCTCGCTATATATATAGTTTATCCCAAGTAGAGGAGGCATCGGCGTTCGCATAGCCATCGCTTGGTTGATACACTGAGAGGGTATCAGCTTCTTGGGAGGAAGCATTTTGGAGGAGTTGTCTGGTGATGGCATGCATCAACATGGTCAACTCGGAGCACCAGGGACTCCGCGGCGTGCCGGCAGTGCCACCGCCGATCGGCCCCCGCATCTCCTTCTCCAGTGACTTCGTCGTGGAGCCGCCCGCGGCGCGGAACCCCGGGCCTCCTCCCGATCCCAACTTCGAGTTTGCGGTCGGCGGGGACTCGATGATCGACGCCGACAAGCTCTTCTTCAAGGGCCGGCTGCTACCTCTCAAGGAGAGCCACCAGTGCGGGCCGCAGCGGATGACCACCCTGAGGGAGGAGCTTCGGGCCAGCGAGGAGTGGGAGCGGCCGCTGAGGGGATCCATCAAGTGGAAGGAGCTCCTTGGGCTCAAGAAGTCCCACTGCAGCTCGGCCGCAAAGAAGAGCGACAAGCCTGTGCAGGTCTGTGCATGTTCTAATCCTCCGAATTAAAAGAACTATCTTGATTTCTCGAGCCCTTTATCCTGAAGTCAAACAGGACTTTTAAGGATTACAGTGTAATCGCACAATTTATATCTTTTGATGGCCCTCTTCAAATCTTTTGGATCTGCAAAACCTATGTAGATTATGACACCTGATGGAATTTGGTTATCTGCTCTGTATCTTACAGGGGGATGTATGAGGCCATGTATGGCGCACATGAAACTGTTCATGGTGCCAAAGCAGCGGAGACAGAGGTCGGGGAAGTGTCATGACTAGTTTTCCTTCGTCTTCCAAATCTTGTTGATGTTGTTGTTCCTAGTTAAGGTGGAGCTGATGGTTGGTCTAAGTACTGGAACTTGAGTGGGAACTCCTATAGTTCTTCCTGGTGGGGAGTGAGGTGGAGCAGGCCAATTGAGGAGTTCCTGTAGCTTGTGAGGGAATTGGTTTTACTCTCTCTCTTTCTCTCTCTCTCTCTCTCATGTGGATCGATCTGTGTAGTTTGAGCAGGAATTACTGTACTTCCAACCAGGTTGGTGTTTAACAGTTTACTATTTCTTTTCTTCTTTCACTTTTGTACAAATGTTTGGACGTGGGAAATTGATTTGTGGGAATCAGATGAAGGCTCTTTCAGTAGCTCTCGTCCTGCTGCAGTCTTGTTGGGTCTGTCTTGGTTGGGGAACAGTCACGCGTTTGTCCTTTGGCTTGAGCTGTGTGAGAAGCAAAAGATGACAAAGGGAGACAGGGACTGAGGAGCTAATACAATATTTGGGTATTCACTTCCTGGATGTGAAATTTCTTTCATTGTTCTTGGTATCACCACACTGTGTGACCATTGCCTTTCCCCTCAAGAAGACAAAAGTAGGGGATGCAATGTGTTGGAAATTAAGTGAGGGGAAGGGGGGAGGGGGATGACAACTAACTACTGTTGTCTGAGGAAACTAAGAAAAGGATGCCACTTGAGAAAAGGATGTATCTCTTTTTATTGTTTTCTTCTTTGATTGATTTCAGTCTGAATGTTTCGGTAGAAAGGATCAAAATGAATCTTTATGTGTAGAGGAAAAGGAAGGAGGAGAAGAGTAAAAGCATCCTGCTGAATTGAGTTGACATTTGAATGCAATGCAAGGATCATTACCATGTTGTAGCTGACCATTTTCCCTGATTACCATCATAAAATCCATGACACTTGTGAAGTGTTGTTTGGAGACATGTTGCTAAGAAGGATTCAGATATGCTGGATGAGGCTCTTTCTATGTGACAAGGCACATTATTTGGATGAATGATGGAGGGTCAATTATATATTATTTTTTATAATTAATTATTTTTAATATTTTAGTCTTTATACTTTCAAAAATTATATACGAAAGTGAAACACCTAATCCTATTTTTCTTGATCTTTAACCTTATGAAATTATCTTTTTAATCCAGTATAAGGATCTCAATATTTTATTTTCGTAAGTATAGAGATTTCAATGTAATTTTTAAAAGTATAAGGATCGAGATACTAAAGGTAAATAACTATAGAGATAATATGTAATTAGCCATTAATCTGTACCTCAATGAGATTACTGTTCCTTTGTTACTTGAGATTTCTATCCTTCTCTACTTGCCCTTTTCTGTGGCTTAATTCATGTCTCACAAAAAAGGCAATCCACACACTATGATAGCTGAAGTGATAACTATAGCATGATGAGAATTATTGGAAAGTAGACATCAATTATTATGGATCGATCTTAATATTTTCACCCGACAACTTTTGTGTTTAGTTCCATGTTGGTCGGAAAGACGGAAAGCAAAGAAGTAATGAAGAATCAAATACCACAGCACTGGTAGTGATGGAACTCATCAGATAGCATCCACTGTGGGTCCAATAAGATCATATTTAGTCGGAGAGCCAAAAGGCTCTATTTTAACCATTGAAGTTTAGTCTATAACAGATCATTCCATCGATGACTAATGATGCACCTTATCATCAGTCTATCTTTATCATAAGGACTATTTAGTGAGCTTGCCAGATATGCTATGAGACGATGTATGTTTCTCGGGTTCATTAGGGTTCCCTTTCAGTGTGAATCTCTTCCAATTTTTGATTTCCTATCATTTTCTAGTGCATAAACATTTTCGATCATCCAAATCTTATGAATAGGGTTAATTATATATTATATTTATAATTAATTATCTTTAATATTTCGATCATTATACTTAAAAAAATTATATTAACATCCTTATAGTTATAAAAGTGAAATATTTAATCTCATTTTTTTTCTCATGTTGTTTACTGATGAAAGATACCACACCTACTGTCACGTGCAAAAATTGAGTTAAAAATAAAAATAAAAAGATAATTTTATTATCCTCACGTTTAGAAAAATATTAAGTTAACGTAAGAATAACTTTTGTGAAAGTTTCGCTATCCTCCCTCCGACTTCATCCTCCCGGACGGCCAACCCAACGATGGCTTTAATGACAATCCTCATCTCTTATACCATCTCATTTCTCCTGCTTTGCTATTCTCCCGAATAGCCTACCGAATGGTGGCGTCAATGATGATCCTCATCTCTTACATCGTTCTATATCCTCCCATCCAGCTTCGTTATTTACCTGGACGACCTACGTAATGGCTTCGTTGTCTTTGTAATTGTCACTATTGTCCTTGGACTTCACAAAGGTTAGTGGTGATGCTCGAATCTCTTTTGGAATGTCATGGTCAATAAAGAACCATCAGCATTATGCAAAAAGCGCTAGATAGGATAGCGAAGCAGGAGAAATGAGACGGTGTAGAAAATAAGGATCACTACCGATGCTACCGTTAGGTAGGCCATTCGGGAGGATAGCGAAACCAAAAATAAGGATAGCAAAGTAGAAGAAATGAGATGATACAGGAGATGAGAATCCTCGTTAATGTCACTATTAAGTAGGTCATTTGGGAGGATAACAAAGCCGAAGGAGATGACAAAGTCGGAGGGAGAATATCGAAGCCTTCATAGAAGTTATCTTTATATAAAATTAATATTTTTGGATGGTAAAAATAGTAAAGTTATCATTTTATCTTTATTTTAACACCATTTTTGCATAATATCTTTCGAGTCTATCGAGAAATAGGATAGGATTAAATATTTTACTTTCATAATTATATAAAGATTAATGAATAATGAATAAACGGGTCAAGCCACTCCAAATCAAATTTCTTTCCTCAACTGCTGAATTTAGCACCACTCAGTGATGAGGTTCGACTCTCACAATCTTCCAAAATAAGTTATTTGCTAGCAATCCTTTTAAAATACCAATGACATACTAAGTAATGTAAATTCAGGCACTCAGAAAATATGGACTAAACACTCACACAATGATATCATGATGCATTATTGGGAGCTAATCTGAACAAATCCTGCTGTCTTGATGGACCTCCCAGAACAGCCTTCTTTTGCAGCCTTGATTTATGTCGTCGATGCTATCTATCATTGACAAAGACACTTATATTGCCGACTGAATTCTACTGACATATCTGGTCTGTATTAAAATAAGATGTAAGCTTCATCCTCCATACTATGAGGAGTGGTTGAGTGACACTGACAGGAACAGGAGCACTGGCCGTACCAAGCATTTATGCATGGCCGGTTCCATTATGTACTACAGGTCCAATTTCAGCAGCATGTAGCTGCATGATTGGAGTCTGATGAGAGGTTGCAATCAGCTCGGTGTACAATCTTGTTATATATTTTGTCCTGTGTAAGGGGGACTGGCATTTCATGGGACATTATAGTCCAATTACTGGAGACACTCCACTCAATATTACAGTGGCTTTTGCTGTAGAAATCAGATTTTATCCTTGAACAAGAAAACAGAGCATATGATCCATTTGTTAGTCCTCCACAAAAAATTGATAACTCCAGATCTGGCTTGTTCTAAATTGTTCCTCAGGTTTGTAGTTTCAAGAACTCTTTTACTTTAGGAATTAAACCACTAAGAAGTCACAGTACCTACAAGTTTTATTGTTACTTAGATCTCGAACAAAAACTGGCTAATCTATTCAAATCCATAGTCCACGGAGCAGAATTATCTATCTACCATGCTTTCATACATAAAAAGTAGATAAAATTCTGATTCAAGCGATGAAGAATTCCTTCACTTGAGGAAACAAATCTTTTACTGAGATTAAGCTGAATTCACTTCCAACTCATATAATCATGGAAAGTTGCAACTGAGGCTTTGGATTTCACCAAATAAAGGAATTTAAATTTTAACATCAAAAATTAATCTTCCACATCAGCAAAAATTAGATTATACAGTGTACATCACTTGGTACAAAATAAAATTTATCATTTGTGGATAACGCTGCTGTGCCACAAACTGCACGTCTGACCTACTGCAGACCCAAGCGGCATAGAGGGTTGCTCTTTATGAGATTGAAATCAACCTGCAAATGATAAAAATTGATGTTTCAGATATAAGCAGTGATTCCTACTTAAATTACAATGTTGAATTCGGAGTAGAATACTCGTTGATGGGTTGGTTATGGGTATTAAAAACCAGTTGACTTATACATTGTCAGAGGTCTACTCATGGGTGACAGTATGTATGGTAACAAATCAAGAATACAGTCACATATCATTCATTTGTTTCTTGTGGGTGGGTCAAAAGCCCGTATGTGGAATTTACTAGAACAAATTCATCCAATTGATTCAAAATAAATAGAATCTCATAACTATGATGATTGATCAAAATATTATTATTATTATTCTCAAACACATTCTGCTTCAACTAAAATCCCTTCTATCTTCTGTTTCTCATAATGTCTGGTTGTTTGGCTGGATATGTTGATTTGTTATTGCATCAACTTCTTAAACCTGATAATACATGGGTCAAGTATGGATTGATAAATGCTGAACTGGCTGATAACCCCATTGCTACCCTAGTTTCAGACTCAGCTTCTAATCCAACCATACATACTGAAGTTGTCATACCTTTGGTCCAAAGAGATCTCGAATATTGTCAATTCCGTACAAAATCATTGTGGGCCTGGATTGCACAACTTAAAATTAATAGAATTAAGCAATAAAAAATAGCAATAAACTAGGATGATAAATACTGTCAAAAATCTTGTTCCACACATCACACAGAGTGAAGAATGCATGGCACAAGTATGCACATAACAAACATAATCTCTACTGCATCGCTTGTCGTTTGTCTAAGAACATAATTATCTGTATAATGATGAACATGATATCTAAAAGGCAACAAACCTGTGCACAGAAATATCTTAACCAAGCATTTGATCAATAAATTAACATGCCAAATTAGTACTTTATCCTGAGTTAGCACTTCTGAACTATTCCATTCATTCTCCACCTTATCTTAAACAGGAATAAATGCTACACATGTACAGTCTTTGACAAACAAAAAAGTTGCTGATGTCAAATCTGAAAACGAATGACTTGTCTTCTTAAAGTAGCTTAATAGAAACTAAAAAAAGGGTTAATGTTAGAACTTATGTAATTGTGCCCTTAAGCACCTTGAGCTGCAAATGCTAACTGTCAATTACTTCCTAATCCATGATATTCCTATTTAAACAAGGAAGCAAATCCACAGTTACCTCTCAAGGGAAAGACCCCATGCAATAACATTAACATCTTCAGGAAGCCCCATTGGAAGCAGCATTTCAGGCCTGAACATGCCAGAGTTCCCGACCTCCACCCATTTCTTTAAACCTTCATGGTAACTATGCAACAGCACTAGGTTAGACAAGGTCACAACAATATAAGTTAGTAATAGTGAAGAAGGATTTGCTACCTAAAGATTTCCATGCTTGGTTCAGTGTACGGATTGTAAGCAGGTTTGAAACGTAGCTTTGACATTCCTAAACAATTAGAACAAATAGACAATACAATCAGATAAAGATATTCACCAAGCTCCAAATATAATTGTTCAGCCAACAGCTGCATCAGAGTGCTTCAAAGTTCCACAGTTGAACAAATCATAGAAAAATAGAAAACATTTATTGGCAATGAAACAGGCAAATGACAGACACAACACAACTAACAACCACTATCTGAAAGCATGACTATAAAATTAAGGTACAATATCAATTTTACACCAAACAAGATGGTTTCTATTTGGATTCCACAATTGGAGAAACTGAGAAGCTCGAGTTCCTGGGTTGCATTATTAGGTAATAATGAAATCAAATGCCAAGGTGAATAAGTAGTAAACATCAAATAATTTTGCAGAGATTTGATGTTTATGGCAGTGGGTTTTAACTTTTGACCTCACAAGCTTGCATCATTTATTGTTCACGGTTTCTCATTCTATGTAATATCAACTCAAACATAAAATTTCAAATTCCCAGTGCTTTTGGTCTCAAAATTATCCTATATATGCAAGAAACACATTTTGTACTGTTAAGAAATTTCCAACAAGTGTCTACTGTTACATAACACATTGTGGCAACAAAACCACTAAATCTAGTGGGTATAAGATGGTTAACCTAAAACGGAAATTCTACATCTCAGTTCAAAATTTAGGATAACAGTATGATCAAAAGGCCAGAGTGCCTCGTGTTGTTAGATATGATATCGTACCAAGACGAGCAAAGAAGTCCTCCAAGACTCCAATGAGATCACCAAGGGTGAGGCCATGATCACAAATGAGTCCTGAAAACCAAGATGGTAGAACATACATAATTTGTAAGGATCAAAACTTATAATCACATCATGTCATATAAATCATAATCGTTCCAATAAGATTTAGAGTATAATCTGAGAACTGAAATTCATACCTTCTATCTGATGGAACTCTGCAAGATGAGTTCGATCTACAGCTTCATTGCGAAAAACACGATCTATAGAGTAGTATCTCTTGGGCATAAAAGGTCTCTGAACAAGACAAATAATTTAGTAAACAGCAAGCACAGAATGAAAGCAACCATAAACAAGAAAATCAAGTAAAAGAAAATAGATAAATTATATTCACAATCAAAGAATCTTGATTTTTTTAATATGTTATCTACTAATAGAAATAGAACAAGAAGAGTTGACAACATATAGAAGGGCCCAGAAACAAAAAGTTCTGCATGACCATTCCAATGTTATCTACTCATAGAAATAGAACAAGAAGAGTTGACAACATATAGAAGGGCCCAGAAACAAAAAGTTCTGCATGACCATTCCAATGTTAGATAACTGCATAAATCTAGATAAGCACAAATGACGACATCCTACATTGTCCAATCTTTTAAAGGTAAACATCTTTCGCTACATACGTGTATACGTGGACACTCTAGAACCATAAATCTAGAACCTAGAATCAATAATCCTAGATAAATGCATTGACATCTTGCACAAATTGCATAGCCTCTGGTACTTGGCAATAGAAACTAGAAAAATAAATATTTATTATTATCCATCAACAAAAAAGCCCAGATCTATTAGGTTATCAGATATTATACATGTCAATCTCAATTATGCATGCTTATTATCTTTTCAAATCCTTGTAATTGTATAGAGATTTATATATGTACATCTTTAATTTGCTATAAAAAATACTTATTTCATCATCAATATAGTAGCCTACAGCAACATGAAGATGGAATTTGAACTTAGATTAGGTTTTATGACAAAATAGCAATGTGGTTATTGGAGCCTAAATTTCATCTCACTGAATTAGAATATGGTTTCTGTAAGTTCTCACAGAGTTTTAGGGAAAATCCAATATTCTATCAAGCTTCATGGAGTTCTAGGCAAAATCAAATGGAAGCATTTGCACTTTATATATGCAGTGGTAAGCAGTAAATAGGAATCTTACATGGTAAAAAAACCATCAAACTGACAAATAATGAGCCAAAAAATATCTGAACCTTAAGAGTAATAATATTACCTGCTGGGCAAGCATGTAAAGCATTCTTGTAGAAACTGCAGTTGTGTGCGTTCGAAGCAAGTTTTTTTCAGCTTCTTCCCTTTTCCAATCATATCCATAGCTGAGGAAAAAACAAGGTTTCATAAGGATCTTGATGATATGCATCACAAATAGGAGCATAATAACATACCCTTTAGATCCATATCCACCAGATTCATGAACACACTTTACTCTCTCAACATAATCTTCAGGTAAATATCTCGTGGTAGAAGGAGCTGCAAAAACAAAACAAGTGACTACAGCAAATTCTGACCAAAATCAAGGAAAACTCAATCTTATATCAAAGCATTCGACCTTTAAGAAAGAAGGTATCATGTGAATCACGAGCAGGATGCTGTTGTGGCTGGAATAAAGCATCGAAATTCCAAAAGCTACAGAAGAAAAAAACAGAAATCTCATCAATCAAGTCACACCACTAAATAGCTAAATAAAAGGAGTTACAGGAATGAATCACATTCAGGAGGACCAGAAAAGTATAGAATAAAACCCGCTTGAATACTCAATATAAGGACTAAGCAATCCACCTAAACTCATTCAGTAACTGAAACAGGTTAAATAAATTGACGCGCATAGAGAAAAATTACTCTTTGAGATCTTTAATCTCATGAAACAAACACCAACTCATAAATCAAGTCACAGGGAGAATGTATTGGTTGCACTAACCAACTGCATAAATCTAATCAGTTTGTTCACTGAAAACCGTGATTTGGTTTCTTTGCAAAATGGTAATTCTCAGATTCTTATTCTTAAACAAAGAATTCAACCTGATCAAACCATCAAATCCAAGTTTTTATTAGATAACATGTAAAATTTCAAATAAAAAAATCTTTATCATGCTAAATATATCAAAAAATTCTTTTCAAGCAAACAAATTATCATGCTAAAATTATGAAAAAAATTTATCATTATTGAAAGTATAAACGTAGCCAGAAATACGAACAAGTGTGCTACCTGCTTTCAACAAAGTTATTTGTTGGCATCTCCTCAAAACTACACAAGAAAAACATTTAGTAATTATAACTTCTGAGCAATGCCACAAGTAACAAAAGAAAATAAAATTTTGTTTACCCCATTTGGAGGAAGATATTTTGAATTTCCTCACGGACCTGAAACATGTAATTTATAAGTGTAAGATAAACTAAGATCGTAAACTTTTCAATAGCAGCAAGTTTTCTTGACTGAGCAAACAGCTGAACATAATATTACATTTCCGCAGAATATGTTGTTTGCTCTCATCGGTTCTTATTATTCAATTAAAAAGTAGAGAATGAAGCATGGACAGGAACAAGATGTGATATGTGGACACCAATACAGCTGCAAATACGACTTGAGATTGCATAGTCTTGTGCTAGGTGATCACATTATTACATTTGTATATGTTTTCCCGTAGATAATCGAATAGGCCATACCCTGTGGACCATTGGTAGTTTCGTATGAATCCTGCTGCTAACTGCTATACCACTATGACACAGCACGCATGATCCCTGGACAGGACCAGAACATAAAACAGATATCCTTAGTCACTAACAACCTCCAGAATGGGCTTACCATGTTGATAGGACCTTGTTATTCTTTGTTTAGTTTTTAGTGTCAACTTAGGCACTAAGACCCCCATATCGAGGTTACCATGATAATAAGACCTTGATTTTTCTTTTTCTGTTTTTAGTTTTTGGTGTTAATGAAGCTCAAATATGCATCATCAGAAATAAGATCAGCCAATTTTCATTTATTCATACATCCAGCATTACCAGCCAACACAACTTTAGTATAACACAGCAAGTTGACATAACACTTACCTTCATGGAAATATAAAAAAATTGAAAACCTTCATTATAACAGCAATGAATCCATTATAATTCCAACAATACTTCACTATGTTTTATTTCAAACTTGTTCCAATTTAGGCGAACTTCATTCTAATGAAAAAAACTTCCCTTTACCATTTGCAAAGTGACCAAAAGAAAGAGTCAAGCACCAGGTTTACTAGTAAAATATTACTGACATCACTTTTCAGAAACAGATTTACAAGACCTTGCATTAACTAAAATATTTTGACCAATGTGTTCCTGCCAATCAGTATCACTCATTCAATATTCCAAGAAAAACCTCATTTATGACAGAAAACAAAATTAACAAAAAAAGCAGGTTTATGACTGCAGTTACATAACCTCATTAGACAACAGTAGCTATAACACTTAGCTGCTTAAACTAAATGATAGTAGGATGTGGAGTATATCTTTCTAAAGATATTGAAGATTCAGATCTATGACTCCCAAAAATGCAAAACAGCAGAATTTGTCATATCAAGTTGTTCCCATTTATGATACTAAGTTATGATGTAGGTTTTGATGAAATAAAAGTTGGTCATGTTTTTCCTCTTCTAGAATTGATGCTCAAACAGAAGGAACATAATAAATGATAATATTAGCTAATATACCCATCTTCCTTAAACCACATCATGAACCAAACCACGAAGTGATGATATACGCTTGCAAATTCTTGTTAGATTGTTGCTTCTCAAAAGGTAAATGCTACATCTTCCAAAGTTTGCTAATATGAAATTTCATATGCTAAGCATCAACCATCTTAAGTTTTGTACAACAAAGTATGATTTAAATTTACACAATTAACCATGACTTATTTTCTTTGCAATTAAATATATAAAAGATACTCAACAAATAATGCCTACTCTTCATCTTTGCTCATACATCCAAGATCAAATATGTATCATCAGAAGCAACAGAGAAAGAATGTGTGAGTTTAACCATGCCTCAAGCAAAGGTTGCAGATGGCCAATTTGGATTGGTTGCCCTTGAGCATTAAGATTATACTCTTTGAACTCTAAATCTTTCCAATCACCCCTTCAGTAGCAGAAAACAAATATAAGTAACAGAACACAAATGTTTGTCACAAAAAAATTTCATGCACAAAATAAGAAATATGCACAGGAGCAAACTGATTATAAAAACTAGTTTAATATACACATCTAGAAAATTATTAATAAATACGAATGAAAATTAGTTTGAGATAGCTGCAAATATATCTTAGATGCAGAATAATGGCTAAATGTGTCAATGTCACAAATAAATAGGACAAATTGATATTACAGAAAACATAGTTTTGCTATGTTAAATAAGCAAAAATGAAATAAAAGATGGATATAACAATAGTAAATTGACAACAAAAAATGGCTAGCATAGATATAGGAGTGAGATATAACAGAGCTGTCATGCAATAATCAATGTTCCTGCAAAAACAGACTGTGTATCTCAGTATTGTAAGACAAGAAAGAACCAAACATTTGTAAGCATGTTTAAAATACCACTTGCATCAGATGGTATGGGCCAGTATTTATTAGACTGACGGCCAAACAACACATGGACCATAAGATTTCATCCAGTTTGGTCCTGTATGGATTGAATCACCCAATAAGCAATGGCTTGCTGGGTAGTAAGCAAACCAATACCGAAGGGTACTGGATGAGTAGCAGTATTCTCTTTTTCTTGTTTATGATAGCTATCATAGTTGTCATTTTTCTTCTTTATCTCTCTGTCTCTCTCTTCCTTCCTCTGCCGCCACTTCCTCCTCGTGTCGCCATTACCACCGCCCCACCACATTGCCACCATCTCCCTCTCTGCTGCATCACCGCTGCACCCGATTCCTACTCCCTGCCTCCTTTTCTTCATCAGCCTCCTCCTTCTCCTCCCTCTTCTCTCTTTTAATTCTCCCCACATCCCCCAGTTTAGTCGGCACAATGGTATACCTATCTGTAAAATGATGATATATTTTCATAATATAATCCTGAATCAATTATAACAGCAAAATTGTTGTTGGAGCACCTGCATGTGCATTTTTTGATCAGAATGCATCAAAAACTCAACAGGATGTGCCACAAAGCAGCCACATATATATACGGACCAACATACATTTTAACTTCAAAATCCTTCTAGAACTGAAACACAGAAAGAAGTTGACGTAATAACCTAATGTTCAGATTATAACAAATACTTAAATCATAAAAATGATGAATGGTACCTTTGCAGATGTTCTCTAGTCAAATCAGTCGCGGCCTTTTTCCTCTTTGAAACATACTTGGAACCTTTTCTCAGTGTGTAACCCCTCCATGTCCTGTCAAAAGAGTTAAGCCAAGTACAACATTGTACATATTGGATTGCAGCATCAGGAATTTGACTAATAAATCTATTGCCAAATAAGTGCAAAAATATCATTTTGATTTAAATTCAGTTTTCCAATCAATTGCAAGCAAGCACTACACGAGAGAGCGAGCGAGCAAGAGAGAGAGAGAGAGAGCAGAGTCAACCACATGAGTCCATATGCAAGATCACCATTCCATGCACAATGATCCAAAAAGAAGTAATTTTTTCCTTAACCATAAGATGACTTGCTATCTTCTTGGAGATTAGCTTATTTCACTTGGATGGTAGAAACTCTGAAAGCTTATACAATATCTTCTATGCTTATTCATCTCCCGACTGCAGGTTGGTTTCCTAAAAAGGTTATTTCCTAGATTGCAAAACAACTTTGAGCTTTCTGATAGCATCATAGGACTGTTCTCACAAACTTACATCTCATCTACCGGGAGGTTGTACCCCTTCTGGAAACCAGAAAATTATATCTCCCATGGGAATGCCAACCAAGATGGCTAGTTGATTGTTGATCCTCAGTCTTTGGTGAAGACAAAGTGGTCTTGTGTTGTCCTTAAAGGCTGTTCATGTAGTTGGTCAGCTATCTGTGTTGGAGGTCAAGCTATCAAAGATCATTTTGGAAGATTGGAGTAGGTAAATGAATCCCTTGTCCAACTTCAATCCCTCTAAAGTGATCAGCTTTGGTGCTTGAACCTCTTGATATATCACAATTAAGCTTGATTGAAAATCTGCTATCAAAATATTGCATTTAGAATGTGATAAAACTTGAAGTACCAGATCTCCAAAATCATGTTTTTTTCAAATTAAAAAGACAACCCTCTTCTTTTTTCTCAAGATGAAACGAAGATGAAGAAGCTATTCAGCCTTAATTTTTCATAGTTGCAGGTCAAAAATAATGGCAGGGTCAATTCAGAAGCACAACACAATGGATCATTTAAAGTCGGGAAGGATCTTCTATAGCAACATTGAGTGTTGAAATAAACAATAATGAAAGCCAAACTAAACCTTGCAATGCTAAATGGAGTACTAAAAGAATAAGAGCTTTTACTCATTCACTATGTAATTACTTGCCAGATAATCCACATGTAAATAGCTAAAGATCAACTTCAATGATGCCTTTGACCCAAATTCTTATTTCCAAGGGGAAGGATTTCTTGTCAAAAAGTTTAATGATTCTCTATATCCTATATATAGGTTGAACAAATTTCAAAGATATTTTGTATTGTAGCAGATATATAACCAACATGGTAGGGAATTCAACAACTTTTGAGCTGTCTTGTGCAGGTGAGATGTTAATAAAGAAATAAGGGTTAGAGAAAAGAGAATTTTAAATTGGAGAATAAAAATAAAATAACAAGTGGTCACTCATAACACCCTTTTAGTTATTGTGAAGTCCCTATGAACTCCTTTTTCCTAGTAAAGTGACCACATTTTTGTGAATACCAGAGTCCTAAACAACAATAGTTTGACTCCAAGTAAACACCAAAATCAATGACAAAGCAAGCAAAGAGAATTTTTTAAGTTCTACCGATCAAATATTCTTAGTCCTTTTCAAATTATTTTACATTGCGAAATATGAGAATGTTATATAAAACTGGGTAGCATCATATTAAGAAATTTCTACCAATATTTACCTTGAAGCAAAACTCTATATAGTAGGTAAATCCTGTCATGTTTCAGCAGTGTAACTAAATTAGATAACGACTCAAAATAGATTCTCAGCTGACCATATTTCACTCTAATCAACGACTAAACAATAATAACGAAATTACAAAATAATCCAATAAATAAACAATACAGACTAAAATAAACCTATCTGAACACAAGATCATCTTAATCTGCTCGATCCCTTCTAACAAACTAGGTTGCACCAATATCAAGAAATTGTAACAGCCCATATTTACAGAATCAGTCTTTTCTATCCAAACAAGAAAAAGTAAAGTTGATGAAAAAAGTGTTTATTACTGTTTGACAATAAGCTTTCTTTTTGACAGATCTGCAACATCATTCCCATCAACAACCTGCAAACATAACAAATTTAGCAACTCCAATCCGCAAATGAGATTATAACAATAATGCCAAATAAATTCTGCTGGGTACAAAATTAAAATTGGTACATTGAAATTTAATTCATACATAGAATGCCTACTAGTAATTTAAAAATAATATCAATAAGCACAACTTTTTCCTCATACTGTGAGATGTAGCAAGTCTAGATAGGACTTGATAGTATTCTTCCAAAGCATTTTGTCCATAAGAATCCTCCATTTCCAATTTGTTCATACAACATCAAACTAAGGCCATGATTCTGATTAGTAGAATATCGTTATGATCAAAGAAGAAAAAATATTAAATATAAATAGAAGAGCTATCACAAATAGAATCTGAAAGCTTACTTTTCGTTTGTACAATAAATAAATAGCAAAATAATTTTAAGTCCAGGATTCAAATCTTAGTTTATTACCAACTTTGATAATCCATTGGACCAATACAGGTTGGTATATCACTTCTCTCATCTTCTAATTGGAGGATATATAATTAGCAGCAGTACTTTTGAGTACTTCTCAAAGTTGCACATACCAGACTGGTACAGTACCAGTATACCAAGCATATATTCACCTATCCCACCCAATATCATTGACTAAAATATTTAAATAATAAAATTGAATGGTGTAAGACTTGTATCAACTAGCAAGCTTTATGTTTTGATACTAGTACATGGTCAGACTAGTGAATATCAGTCCATCGAGATTAGAAAACTTGCTTTGAGTCACTAGTCAATGACATTAATGAACTAAAACGAAAAATCAACACAAGGGTTGGTGATCAGGACTAGAACTATCTGAAAATACAGCAAAAAATTCAATTGCAAAAAAATGTAACTATCATGGAAACAGACTATGATGGCCAATTTGATACAGGTATTTGATGAGAAGCAAAAAATTCATCATCAGAAACCTTTCCCTCTTCAATTCTTTTAAGCAAATCCTTGACTTTGTCCTCCACATTTTCAACCTACAAAAGAGAGTAAAAAATAAATCATTCTGAGCATAGTGGATTAGAATTTTAGTAGTGGTCTGAAACATGCATCACAACATAATAAATCAAATCAAATTCAATAAATTATTTAACAGGAAGTTGATGTCATAAAGAGACAAGTTGCAATAATCTTAACAAATAATAATTTTTGATATTTCAATTTGAAAAATGAAGTGATTGATCAAAGCTAAATGCCTCAGCTAACCATGTACAAACTATGAATTGACTTTTGCTACACACTTGTTAGCTGGTGTTGCAATTAGAGCAACAATATTCTTAGCTGGTCCACTACAACAAATATCATATCATGAAGACAATTTCTCCTTTTGTGATCACATTTAAGCAAATAGACTTGGCTACTATTTTATAATGCATATGTTGTCAAATATCTAACTCGTGGATGATAAGCAACACATATTAGGAAATCAATGTCTATTTGATTAGAAAAACTCTGTAGATTTCATTATTATGATCTGTTATTTACCCACCAAGGTTACTACAAAGAAATAGGTATACTAGCAACACTAAGATGAATAATTCATCTTCAGACTTAAAGAACTTCTTTAGCATATTAAGGTACTATTAGTACATCATATTATATAATTTTGACCAGTGATTTAAATAGGCGCTCGGGTACTCACCTAACCGCTCGGGTAAGGTAAGGCGAGGCGAGGCGAGGCACGAGCGCCTCGTGTGCACCAGGCGGCATGCTTCAATGAGGCGCCACCTGGGTGCTCACCCAAACACAAGTGCTGGGCACTTCGGGCGAGCGCTCGATTCCATTAGGCAAACCAAACAGGTTTAAGGTTGGTTTGGTTTGTAATTTCTTACCTCAAAAGCCACACTTCACACCCGCGCGACCCTGAGGAACACTAGCACTGCTTCTGCCTCCGCCGTCGATGCTTTCAGTCGCTGCCTTCGTCGCAAACACAACGGACCGAGCCTTCTTCTGTTGTCGACGGACAAGTCCGACGGCCCCCCTAGCTTCCTTCCGCTATCGCTTCCTTCCACTATCGAGGGAGAGGCCCACAGGTTCCTCCGCCACCGACGAACGCCCTCTGGAGCTTTCGTCGTTGTTGTCTGCAGCTTCTGTCGTTGCTACTGCTGTTGTTCGCAGCTTTCGCCATTGTCACTGCTACTATCCGCAGCTTCCCTCGTTGTCGCTACCGCTGCTGTCGTTCGCAGCGCTGCCGCAACTATCTTAAACTAATCCTCCACCGCTGCTGCTATCTCCCTCTGTTACTGTTAACATTTTTTTCTCCCCCCTCTAACAACAAGTAATATACTATTAACAGTATATTTTTAATTTAACATCATATTTTAATTTAAATAATTATATTTTTAATTATATTATATATTTTTTATATTTTAATATTTCAGAGAATATTTTTCTCCCCCTCTAACTTAAGTAATATACTGTTAACAGTATATTTTTTTATTTAATATCATATTTTTATTTAAATAATTATATTTTTAATTATATATTTTTTATTTTTTATATTTAAATATTTCATAGCGCTTCGGACGTTTTGGGACCTTGGCGCCTTTTGGTGCCTAGCACTTTTTAAACCATTGATTCTGACTAACTCATAAATAGGCCAACTAATGAACTCAACACAATGTGAAACTTGTTTTAAGGATAAAACCCTTTAAAAACATTTGTAATGATCAATGCAGTTCACTTATATTAAGCTTCCAGGATCCTTTTCAAGACTTTTGGAAGGTTGAAACTGCTGGACTTAATAACTTGATCCACAAAAGAAACACCAAACTGCAACAACTTGACATATTTTAATATACAAAATGTGATATAACCTCATTTTGAATGTAAAGTATAGAATCTCAAATCCCCTAAGTAAACAATTGATTGGTAAGAGTAAATTACAAACTCACCCTCTATCAAGATATCTAAGAAAATTGTGTACCGATACTAAGAACAGAAATCCAATCGACCTTAATTATCTCCAGAAAAACTTCAGCAATAATGACAGATGCCATTCTCTTGCGACAGACTTCTTTCCCCTCAATCAAATATCTTTAATCCTAAACACTTACACTTAAGATAGTGCAAGCCTAAAATTATTGCGGAGTATGAGCCTTATGGCCTTCAAAGCTGCTTGATTAAGAAAAAATTGCCAAAAATGAGTACCAACTAGCTTCAATCATTTGAAACTCTAAACTGTTAAACTACCTATGGACTATGAGCCTAAACTTATTGTTGATTATGAGTATTATGAACTTCAAAGCTACTTGATTAATAAAAAAATGCCAAAAATGAGTACCAACGAGCCTCAGATCATTTGAAAACCAAATCTGTTAAACCATACTACCAATCCTTCAAAATGCTCTGACCATGTATATCTTGCATTTAAATATTCATAGAAATAAGAAGCATCAACCTATCACAACAATGAGAAAAAAAAGACCAAATACGTTTTGGTAACTGATGATAGTAGTAATACTAACACCTACCATCAGTACAAAATATATGTAGAATGAGCATATCTCCACACTAAACACACAATCAAAATTTTCTAAAGTTATTAGTCAAGCCCACAATACTAGAATAAGGATAGCCCAGTGCATCCAGTTTCCGCCAATGAAAAATATGGGAAAGATAAGCAAATGCAATCTTACCTTTACAAGCAAAGTGGCTTAACAAACACAACACTTACTACATATTATGTGAGACCACAACAAAACAAGTAGAATATGAATGCTGATGATAACAGCATTGTAACAATATAAAAAGGGGACCAATTTTTGTGGAAAAGAACAACTAGGAATTATTGTAAATAAATAATAGAATTTCTATTTAATGTTTGTGCAAAACTTAAGTGTTAGCAAAAGTCAAGCATATAAAACTTCATATCAAAGCAGAAATTAGTGCTGCACATCCAACATCATCCAAGATCCAGAGACAATATTAACAATACTACCTACCACGCTCAAGTCACAAATGGACCAGTTGTGGCATCATGCAACTTTTTGGCTCCCATATGGCCAGGAGAAAAACCTAACATCAAATATCCTAGTGCACAAAGATTTAGCTATGAATATGACTCATATATATATACCACCACCCCCCTCAAGTCACTGTCAAACTAGTTGTGGCATCATCCAACGTTTTGGCTCTCATATAGCAGCAGGAGCAGAAAAACCGAATATCTATTATCTACGTGCTCAAAGATTCAGCTACGAATATCACAGTATCTATATGTGTACATTGTACAATATACTTGAATATTGTATATATCAAACAAGTATTAGAAACTGTAATGCATTCCAGCAACAAATAGAAAATATAAAAGACAAGGGCAATGAGATTTTACCTTTCTTGTGACAGACCCTTTGGCAATCTCAATCCAGCCATTCTTTTTAGCCCAGGATGAGCCTATACTGAAAACCTTGGAATCCAATTTTGCCTGGCCCAAAAAGAAAATGATAAACGATATCCATAAGAACGATATTGCATCTTATGCTAACAATAGAAAAAACACAAAAAAGATCGTGATTTTCATAATATCATAACCAATTTTGTTTCCAGACCAAGATTCAACAATAAAACAACACGGACCTTAAGATTTGCCAACGAGATCCCTTCTACGGGTACAGCTAAGAAGAAGTTAACCTCCGGCGATCCTTCAAGTGCATACTGTTTCCCCTCTTCGCTGACGAGATAATTATCCTTCTTAAAATCCTGCACGAAACCCCAAAAACTACTGAAACTGAATCACGATTAGGACTGGCGTATAGATCTACGGGGAACGAAGGGGGTAAACCTTGGCCTCGACGATCTCGAAGCCATGGAGCCGCTTGATGACGTTCTCGAGTTCGGTGTGGTCGACCCCGATGCTAGCAGAGAACTGATGCGAGTCGGCTATCTCGTCGTTGGTCTGAAGAAACCCTAGAATTGCGTCCTCCGCCATTTCTGTAGACCGCCGCCCGCTGTCTCCGCCTTCTCAATGGTTTGCGAGCCGCTCCAAAACCCTTTGCCGGTCTACCAAGCAAGAAATCGGTGCGAGAGCGAGAGCGTGACGTAAATCGCGTCACTTCATACCAAGCTGTGTGACGGTTTCGTTTCTCGCCGACATCCGTTGTTACAAATGACGTTTTGAGATTTATGTAACGGGAAATAGAAGTTTATAACAGTGTTATACAGATTGAAGACCGACTTCATTAAAATGTGACGTACATAACACATTCTAATTTATAGTACTAAATTACAAGACAAAGACTCATTAACTGCATATATAGTAAGCTAATCATCAAAATGCCTCCTCAAAGATTAAATTATATCTTAATAGGGTATAACATTTCAAGAACTCAAGCCATTTGTCTTAATATACATGTACTTAGAAATGTGCATACCAAACCTAACAAAATTTGATGCATTTGTATTATTAATTAACCCTTATTTTTTTGTTTTACGATATTAGAACTATCGATATAAGGATCGTAAACATTCAAAACATTTTTTTTTCTTGTTTGTTGGTCATTGAGATATTGAGAGTATGTACAGTAAATTCGATTAAAATGAAGTTCTTGTATCTAATTTTGAGATAATAATCTTATTAATGTATTTTTTTTTCTCTCTTTTAGCTTTGCTGGTCTTAAACTTGACTGAAAGAGAAGGGTTAGGCAGACAACATCAAGCACAAAACTTTGTCAAAACTTGTGAACATGGAACTCTCTGATTTCATCATGCAAACCTCATGGCTTACTGAACTTGTCAAGGTTAAAGGATTAGAAACTAGTTCATCTCTCTCAGATACAGTAGTAATTGAAGCCTTTACAGACACCCAAAAGCTTGGCCAGTTAATTTAGGTGCAATGTTTGCTTCAAGTGAAGATCTGAAAACTACTGTCACAAGGTTGCCCGAGCTAATGGAAAACTGATAAGAGATTATGCCACTCTCATTGGTTCCTTGATGGTGTCCTACCAACACCATCCTCCATCAAGTTTCAAGTGGATTAGTACACAAAATGATCTATAAAATTCAACATAGACACATTGCAATTTGCTGTGGTCTTGTTTAACACATCTAATTGATCCCTTGTTCTTGGGGTAATTTTAGAGATATCCCACGAAGATAATGCTGAAGTTGTTGGGGAATTCTTTGTCCTGTTTCACATGCTTAGTCTTCACTTTAAAGGATTTCTACCCTTGACTCGAAGCTTTAGGGGTTGCGAGGCATTTGTCATGCATGTCCATGTCACTACATAACAGCATAAACAACCCTACTTTATATATGGAGGAAGATGATGCACCACAGCAGATTCTCCATACACTTTCCTGGTGGTCTCCCTTAGTACATTTCTTTCTGTTAAGCATGTCTTTCTTTCCCGAGGAAGAGAAATCCAAGCTCCCTTCCAACCATTCCAAATCCCTTCCAAAGCTCATCAGGAATGCTTGCGCTCAGTGTCATGGCTCCTGCCTCGGGACTCCCTCAACCATGAGCTCCGTAGATGAGAGTCTTGACAGTGATCTAGATCACAAACAGGTACGATCGTTGTTCATCTTGAACTCGTCAAATGATATCAGCCTTCATGTTCTTCTCTCTCTCTCTCTCATCTGTCAGTTGATAATACTGGAGATTCAAAGTCGAGCGATGAAGGCTAAGTCGAGGCCTAGGGAGTTCCTCTTCTCAGCGAAGCTCGCTTGGGCTACGTCACCAACAACAGGAAGAGTGCACATGACTCCCATGAGGAAGACAGACGGAGAAGAAGAAGGCGACTGCGGCGGGTACGAGGAAGACGACGACGATGAGAGCGAAGCGTTTTTCTCGGTGAAGAGCCGCTTTTCTTGCTGTTCGACTGATGGTTCGACAGAGTTGAAGGAGATCCGTGCTGGGTCGATACTGGAAGAGTTCCGACACTGCGAAGGGTGGCCTTTTGGTCTGTGCCTCAGAGCTGTTGTTCTTCCGCCATTGCCGAGCTCTCCTTCGGACTCTTGGATGTGGCACAAGAGAAACCTTGTCAGTAGGGACTTCACCAAAAGCTTAGCAATGAAGTCTTGACGGAAAGAAGAAGAAAAAGAAGAAGAAGATGCTATCTTGGTGAAGTTGAGAATAAAAATTTCATTTTTATGATTTAGGTCTATTGTTTGTCTTATTTTCATAAGTTTCTAATGCATTAATTATAAGAATATGTAGAATAAAACGGTTTAAGATTTGATATATCTTTTCATATAATGTAACTTCCTGCCTGATTTAACGATCAACTTTCCTTCCTCTAATGTAATCTATTGGACTGAGAAGGATTACAGTGAATCAAGCTGTCAAATGCAGAAATCCAGCACGGTGCCGATGCTATGTGTAGTTTAGACATTTGAGTTGGGATGAGTCTATTACTTTTAGCTTAGGTTTAATCACAATACATAAATTACTTATCCTATCAGATTAGATCATTATTATTCGGATTAGTTGACCAGAACCTGACTCGATCCGATGTTAAATTCCTCGATCTAATTGATCAACAAGGTCAACATGTGGAACAATTGTTCTCACCCACATACTCTCCTTGTGAACTCCAATCCAAACGAGTCGAGTATGGATTGTAATCAATTCGATTCGGATCACACTTGACGAATCCGATTTAAATAATGTGGCCACTTTTCTATGCTGAGGCAGGATCGTCGAGTGACGTATGGGCTCCATCTACTTAAGTGGAACTTTGAATTGTTGAACACCAACCCTTTACAAAAACATACTACTATATAAGATTTTAAATATTGTAAAACTAAGTCGGGAGTATACTATAAAATTATGTTAAGCGTATGTTCAATAAAATTCCTCCTATACTTAAATTAACTTAGAAGTTGATATGCTAATGAGGCGTTGAGAGTGGTAAAACCAAAAGTACTAGTCGAATAATAAATCTTGTTTATCTTTTGGAACGCACATGAGAAGGCTTTTATAGTATGAATTTCTTACGATTATACTCACATATGTGCATTATAATTAGGGATAGTATTTTTTTTTTTCAATCCACATGAAATTATGTTGCATTAAATCTAAGGATCATACGACAGTTACGATGTAGGCAGTAACGTCTATAGAGCATTGTTGCATTGGCTACGTATGGTGGAAGTATTGTAGATGTTGTCTTGAGATATTGGTCATATAGCACTAAAGTGTTTGCTATGTAAGGTATCAACCATGCCATTATTTCCCTATCATTTGCCTCCCCTATTGAGCCTGGACAAGTGTCGTGGGTCAGGATATGATAAAACTTTCAGTAAGCTACTAACATGAGCAAAAGTTATTATTAAACCAAGTTATAGAGGGTGTAGATCAAGTTAATCGAGTTGCTTCATCATTGGGTGATGCATTTTAGTGCTTTGGGCCATGCCGACCAGATGTCGTTGTAGAGAGTGCTTCAAGCTATATTGATCATGTTGTCATTGTTTGAGAGTCCTTTCGATTGTGTCGATCGTGATGTCATCGTAGAGGATGTTTTAGGTCACGCCGATCATGCTATTATCATAGAGGGTATTTTAGGTAGTGTCAGCTGATAGGGACAAAAATGGCAATGTGACACGCCATCCCCTTGAGTAACACACTGCCCGAGGCTCGCCATACCCTGCAGCAGCTCGGCCTCCCAC